ATTTTTCGGCATTCTAAAATTAATGAATTATTTGTACTTTAAGAATCATATATTTAAACAAATAGTCGGTAAACATATTGAAACAAAAAAGTATAATCGTGTCTAAATCAATCACATTTTGCTCATTTATTTTTAATATAAGTTATATTTCTTTTTAAAGTCTATATATTGCAATTGTAGCAAAGACTAATTCAATCTGTCATTTTTAATTTTGAATCATTTTTTTTAATATGTTGAATCTTAAAATTTTACAACTGCAAGAGGAGTATATTACTACAGTAGGAGTTTTAAATTTGATATTCTATATAGAGAAATAAAACAAATAAAAAAAAGTCTTACAAATTGTCCAGCCTAAACCCACTAATATAACAAAATGAACTCAATACTAGAGCACAATTAAAGAAACAATATGATAGCTGTAAAAAAAAATCAAATCTGATTAAGGGGTTAATCAAACATATAAGAGATGGAGCGAAAACAATGCATTTAGATATGGGAGTTTCTAAGGTGGATGAAAATTGATTGAAGCAACAACTATTTCTCCTTAGGAATTCCTAGATAATAATTTTTATCGTATCTGAGATAATATGTTTATATTTATGCTAACTAATACTCTTTCTGTATCATAAAGAATGATTTTCTAAGATTTTATTTTTGTATTAAAAAGATTGATTTTCTCTAAATGTTTATCAATTAATGTAGATAATTTGTAAATTTCAAGAATCATTAGTTGAGAATTTTAAAAATTTGATGAATTACTATTGGTTAATAGTTATGAGAAATTATTTAGTATGAATAAATAGTGCATTTATAACAAAACATTAAATATTTTTCTTAATTGGTATGAAAATTCTATGAAATTTATCTTTTTGATACAGAGGGAGTAAATAGTTTCATAACATCACAAATGCAAAATATCATCGGTCCTATTTTGTAGGGAACTTCAGTAGCGTTCTAAAAATTTGGCAACCGTGAAATTAGCATTTTTTTGGGCCAATAATCACTTTACATTTTTTTATTGACTTTTTTGCTAGTATTCGTTCTTGGTCATTTATTCTGATTTTCACTGTAGAACAAAGTGGATAATTCAATTTTGCCTTTCTAAGGAATCCAATATTTTGGGTAAATTAAATCATTAATAGAAAATGTATCACTGCAACCCTTTAATACATTTACCATGGACGTCCTAGAAATGTTTTCATTGTTTATTTGATCGGAGTTAAATCCAAACTTGTCGTTATATTACATTTTTGTAGTGAGAAACCCGAGTTTTTGCGCCAGTCTATGCAAGAGTGAGCAGTTATCATGTTTCCATGTCCCCTCCTAGACTTGCAAAATTGAAACATAGCTACATCATCTTATATTGTAGATTTAGTTGATGTAAAAAAAAAACACAAATTTGGAATTGACTTATAAAAATTGACTCTTCTTAAACTTAGTGTAGTCGGTTACTTGTAATAATTATTTTAGTGTTTTTAATCAAAACCTATAATTATTTTTTGTTAAAAATATTCTAATGTTTTGCTCATATTTTGCTTATTATTTTTTTTAATACAAATTTGGACTGATAAATTTGCAAACTTTGATCACAAATGTCACAAACTAAAAGACATTGTGGTCTTCGAGAATTTCGCTAATCGGAAAAGCAAATGCAGCGAACATGATTTTGTATTCTCTATGTAGCTGGTTGAAAACTAATTTTACTTGCATGTTCCTAAAAAAATATTCAAAAGCTTTTAAAAACACTAAATGCCCAATTCAAAGCTAGATAATTTTGTATGAGGTTGTTTCTTTTGTTTGTAAGACTTATTTGAAATTATATAAGCTGAAATATATCTTCAAATTTTAATGCTAATACATTATGTACCATACTAAAATGGCTTTTCAGTGTTTCATTTTTGGTAGTTTAGATATGTATATGCTAGCTTTTGACTGAAGAAAAAAAAGATCTGTGGTAGTTCTTTAATTTAATTGAGTCACAAAAAACATAACCCAAATTTAGGATGAATAACACAAGATTATCCTTTTATTGTGTAGTAACGTTTTTTAAAAATATATCTAAATGTTTTGTGCCATAATAAAATGTTGATTAATAGCAATATCTGACCGCATGTAGTGCTTCTACTAAAACTAGCAATGAATATCACAAAATTTATTTTAGTGTGTTTCAACAATAAGAGCTGACCACCTTGTTTTTCATATCAATCAAGCTTCTCCTCTTCCTAATCTGGTCTATCTATAGGTATACCGTTTTTCTGAACATAAAATAATCCATGTATATAACCACAACGATGCTTATCTTCGGGATCTATTTCTCTTTCATATGCCTCTGGATTAACATTCTGCACATGTACATAGGGGATAATGGTTTGAATTCTTCGTCTCATCCATACAACACCCTACAAATACTAATCAAGTCACATACTAAATATGCCCAACAAAGTACATGGCCAGTTTGATCAAGAATAAAACCAGCAGCACCTTTCGACATTTTCCTAATTGTTTCGTACAGTAAATATTCAGCCTGTAGTTTTCCTATCCTCCAAAAAAAAAAAGTCCTACATTAGGAATCATGGGTTCCCAACTGCTCTGGTGGATTTGTTGCCAATAAGATATTGCATCTTTCTTTCCTCAAAGCAATCTTTGCAGATTCATGGGAAATAACATCTATCATATGATGTTTCAAACGCAGACGCAAGGCTAGTGGGAGTCTCTCTAATATGAGAGACCTACTAGGGACAACCATAAAAATTTCATTAAGATCTTTCTTCCCTTTTAGCTCTTCATCATTGTCTTCTAAGTCGGATTCAGTGTCGTCAGAGTCACTATGACAGATAGCTTCTTTGTCTGATTCTGAGATACAAAAATTAGTATTGGAGACATCTTCGATTTCCCCAACTGAGCTTGAATAACATGTATCCCAACGAAGTGAGGAGGATTCAACACTTTTATGTTTCTTCTTCTTATCCAGCCTTTCTCCCGCCTGGATTTCCAGCTAATGAGATCAAATTGTTAGGAACTGGCACTTGTTGTGCGTGGTTGTTGCTTATTTGTGATATAGTAACAAACAAAGGTTTAACTCTATAATTCCAATATGGAGACATTTTCATATCACCAAACCAGCTGCCATGATTCCGCTGAACTTCAGACACAACTTTACTACTAACAAGTGAAACTACATTGACCTCACTGGACTTTACAATATCTGATCTTCTATTATCATTCCGTATATGACTTTCCAGCAAGTTGTCATGTTTTGTACCACCAAAAGCAGATTCTAGAGGTTGATCTGTTTGAAAGAAGAAGGCCAAGTTGGTTACCAACTCAATGTGACCAAGTGCATATGTAACTCTATAACATAATTTGAGATTTTATCATTTGAACCAAATTCTTTAAAGGCTTAATGAATTTTGTAGTTCCACTTGAGAATAAAGCTTTTTCCTGAGATATGTTACACAAATTACATATTACATTTTTTAAACGGCTTACATATAACTTTTTGTATATTTTGTTGCACAACTCATGAATAATATGATCACTGATTTTTTTTTAGAAGATAGATTATATTGTTTTAACATTTTCAATTTTTTTTTATATAATTTCACAAAAAGAGTGTGACCCTTACAATGGGTTTTTCTTAAATAAAAATCTTAAGTTGATTTTATTAATCTTTTATTTCTTTAAGCGAATATTCACGGGTGGTCTTCATCCATTTGGAGATGAGAAAAATCGTGTTATAAACATTGCTAATAACTAATCAAATTGTTTGTCGAAAGTTAATCATTTATCCGAAGCTAAGCAACTCATCAGCAGTTTGCTAGAATATAATCCTAATTTACGATAACATCATTTTCTTGTTTGATTCAAAATCATTTCAACAAGGCTAAGCTATAATATATCTTATCTTCATTGATGCAGTCCTAGACTCCTAGTGCATCTTATGTGCTTAAACATCCAATGTTTTGGAACAAAACTAAGAAAAATCTATTCATTGTTGAGGTTAGTTACCTTTTTAGTGTTGAACCTCAAATTCTGAATAATCTTACAGCCCAAACAAGGGTGACAACTGCATTGACTAAGGAATGACACAAACAGATAGATAAAAAAAGTCTTAGGGTCAATGAAAAGATCTTACAAGAACATCAAATTTGGAGAGTTGTTACGATTCTTCAGGAATTGTAGAGCTCACTACTAGAAAATCGAATAGGTTATTATAGTTTCTACTAAGGTTTGTCCTCATAAACAAATCTTTCAAAAATTGTTTTTCACGAGCATAATTTGATTGATTTTTGTTTCTCAGACAATTATGAGAGACATACCAGATGGATTTAATAGTTATTTTGCTTGTCGGTTCTCAGAATTGTTGATGATAATGTACAAGATCATTTTCCAATAATGCATATCTAGATCGGAGTTCAAAGTGTATTTCGAATAAAAACCCGTAAGAGATATGGAATGGTGAGAGCAAATGAAGATTGTAACTCTTTCACATTCATCATCTTCTTTTCCTATCGTGATTCAGGTCCACAATCAAAAATCATATTTGTTATAAACTCAATCAATTATATAATTTTGGTATGACTGTCATCAATTCATCGTATCCACAAACAATTCAAAATAGTTCTTGAAATTTTTATTTTTTCAAGCTGTAATATTATAATTTTCAGAAGATTAAAAATGTTGAATTCTAGAAAGTAAAAACAATTTTTTTTTTTTCCCTCAAACAAATTTTTGTTCATAGTAATATGAGTTTTTTTTTTTTTTTTTTTTTTTGAACAAAGTAATATGAGTTTTATACGCATGTATTGACATATCAATAATACTATCAAACTTTTAGAATATAGTAATAATGATAATAAATAAACAGTACAAAATTTGAAAACAAAATAGTAATTTTCTAGTATTATCCGATTAGCAGTTGTTTCGAGGCTATCTACATGTATCAGCCACTCGTATTATTCTCCAATCTATAAAGTTTTTAGATTCAAAGTGACAAAATTGAGTTTTAATATTAAATGATTTGAATCGTCTTCTTCCTCTGGAAATTTCAATCGAAACTATATCTTCAGAGATGCATAATCTGTGAAATTGTAAAGACGAATTTTAATATTTTGTGAAGAAATGGTGACGCAGATATTTCAGTTGCCGTTACAGTACTGTGTTTCGAGTTTTTCTTCCGCCGGCCAGCGGAATTACGGTGTTTCTTCGTCGCTGTCGCCGTCTCCGGTTGTTATTTGTAAGAGTAATGGAATTTCCGATGATCTTTGGGTTAAGCGGAGGAAGAAGAATCAGAGATTCGGTAGTTTGATAGTTAAGCAGGAGAAAGGAGACGTGACGGAGATTCGAGTTCCGGTTCCGTTAACATTGGAGCAACAAGAGAAGGAGAAACAAAATCGAGATGATGAAGAAGATGATGACGAAGAAGGAGAAGTAGATCCTGAAGATCTCAAATACGTCAATGAAATCAAACGGGTTCGTGATTCCGTTGGCTGAGTGAAATTGTATATAGTTAAATCAGATTAGCCTGAAGAATTTTGTGTGTTTATTAGGTTTTGGAGCTTCTTAGGAGGAATAGGGATATGATCTTCAGTGAGGTAAGCTGCATTTTCATGGTTCTTTGTTGGTTTTTAGTATTGATTTGATTAAGTCAGAGCTTTGTGTGTGTTGCAAATCATAGGTTAAGTTGACAATTATGATTGAGGATCCAAGGGAAGTGGAAAGAAGGAGGCTGCTTGGGATAGAAGATGCAGATACTCCAAGTAGAGAGGATTTGGCTGAAGCACTGGAGCAGGTGACATTTTCTGTCTTTGAATTTTTCTCAAGATGCAATACTGATATTATCACAAGTGAAATAGAATCCTTCCTCAAACTTGTACCTTAATATAATGCATTGAATAGTAAACTTAAGTAAATTGTAAGACATCAGTTTTCGGTAGAGAGCAAAAGAGAACACATATATGGTTCAGTTCTAGTGTTTATAGCCTCATAGAATGCTATTGTGAGTCAGTCGGTTTGGTCAGTGACTGTGTATGTGTGGTTTTTGTTGTTGTTGTTGTACACAAATGTTGATGAATAACTAATTACAGTAGTTACTTTGAAGTTCTGCTCAACCAACCTTTCTTGAATTTCATTCATGCTTGATGTGTTACATTTCTGGTTTTAACATAACATTGTGCTGGCCTTTATAACACCTGATCTTAGTTTACAAAACTCTTTCAACTTTCAAGGCATATATGTGCTTGTGATAGAAATCCTATTACCCATGGTGATGTCAAGATGTCACTTCACAACACCAAGTTGAGCAGTTTGCTGTGTAGCTACAAGGGGTGATTATGTGGCATTACAATAAAGATCCTTAAAAATGAATTGATTTCTTTACGCAGGTAAATGATGGGAAAATCCCTAAAGATCGTGCAACTCTTCGGATGCTGCATGAGGAAATGATCCGTTGGCCAAATTTAGAGGTACCTCCTCTTTGATCACAATTGTTTTTTGCTGCCTATTGGTGGGACTGATAGAGAGAAACTGCCACCATTTCGCCTTAGACAATATAAATCCATAATGAAATCTCTCCTTAGGCAATTTAAATCCATAATCCATTATGGTTCCTATTGATGCTAGAAAATACAATGGAAGAGATCTCTTTTCTTTTGTGTAACTCTGGTGACGGCTATAGACATTTAGTTAGTTAGCTAAGCCAGAACTCTGTTTTAAAGCCTTATCTTAACCCCTTATCTTATTTATCTTATAAGGTTGAGGTTTCAAATAAGCAACGAGGAAAATCAATGTACGCTAAATCCACAGACACTGGAATAGATCCAAAAGAAGCTGCCAAGAGACTCAACATAGAATGGGATTCAGCTGCTGCAATTGAAGAAGCCGATGTCGATGATGAACAAGGAGTAGTAACCAAAGTCGCGGTTTGTTCCCCAACCTCTCTCAGCGCTTTCACAACTCCTGCTTTTACCTGGAAATCATTACTCTTTCATAACATTTTCAGCGTTTCTATTTGACTTTTCGAAATCTGATTGATATTTCTCATGCCTCTGTTTCTTAATCTGTTTGCAGGGCTATGGAGCATTGTACTTTGTCTCGGCTTTACCAGTTATCATCGGTATCTCTGTTGTATTGATTTTGTTTTACAATTCCCTACAGTAGAGTCAAATCCATTTAGTTGTTATACACACCACCACCAATGACCCATCATTGATGTTTTGTAACTTAAGAACATGAAATGAGTTTTTCAAATATTTAATCATCTTCTTCCTTATACAACGGCTTGTGGTCTGCACAAATTCCAGGTAAAGTATTCCAAAACCTTTGGTAATATTATAATAAGTGTAGTTCGTGCGAGCATATCTATCATAATCAGATCTTGTCTCAATCTTGGGCATAGTCTCATGTCAACGATGTTAAATATTCTAAATGTAATATTATTTGTTTATGTATATAGTAATGAAGTCAATAACCTTTGGCTGAGACTAATACGCAGGAAACGAAAAAAAAGCTGGACGTGCAAATCATGACTCAGTGTAGCTACCATAAGCTACCAAACGTGCGGTCCATGCTTACTCTCTGTGACTCTGTATAAGTATTCATCATCTCTTTGCATTAAGACTTAGCCATTTGTCATTTTCTCTTCTTACTAGTTGACATTTCAGGTCGGGAAATAAAATGGTGGCTGCAATTCTTATGCCAACGGTTAGCTTCAGAGACGAAAGTTCTCGTGAGGATTGGCAAGTTCTAAGCAGAAACGATTCGAAGAAGAAGATTCTGGTCAAGCAAACGAGTATGATGCAATCCGAGAGAGAGATATCGATGGATCCAAAATCAATCAGGTCGTTGTCTTTTTCAGGTTCGTTGAGAAGGAATGATAGCTTCGATATGATTCGTTTACCGGCGATGTCACCCCCTAGAGACTTAGATGCGCCTATGGCTATTCCTTTGCAGCCAGTGCAGACTAAGTTTGTGAGCCGTAGCCTCCCAAACTCAACCTCTGCATCTCCTAAAAAACGTTCAGGTCTCATGCGGGCGCTCAGAAACAAGGAACAAGACAGCCTCTCAAACTCAACCTCTGCATCTCCTAGAAAACGTTCAGGTCTCATGCGGGCGCTCAGAAACAAGGAACAAGACAGCCTCCCAAACTCAACCTCTGCTTCTCCTAAACAACGTTCAGGTCTCATGCGGGCACTCAGAAACAAGGAACAAGACTCGTCTTCAGCGTCATACAAGAGAAGCAAATCTTGTGGGTCTACTAACAAGAGACTATCTCTTAAGAGCAGCGGAATCAGAAATTCTTTCTTCATTAAAACCGAATCGAACAAGAACATCAGCAATAATAATACATTAGAAGACAGATTCAAATGCAACGCTCTATGTTTATTCCTCCCCGGTTTCAGTAAAGAAAAACCGATCAGATCATCACGGAAAGATGATTCTTCTTCCTTCACCCGAACCACCACGATGACGAGATCATCATCATCGACCATTACCGTTTCAAGAACAGTCTCCGTCAGAGAATCCACCACCACCACCACAGTGATCTCAGCTCGGGCTTCAATGGAGAAATTCGATTGCGGCTCATACACTTCGGAAACCGGCGGAGAAGAAGGAGAAAATCACTTCTTTGACTTACCATCCGAGCTAATCAAAAGCGGTTCAGGTGATAACGACCATGATGACCCGGTTTCAGCGGCTTTCGTGTTCGACAAGGAACCTGTTGAGAAAGAGATCAAAGGGGTTCTAAAGGTTTCTGGTTCGAGAAACAGAAAATCGATGGAGTCTTCTTCACTGCGTCAGGTTCGATTCTCCACGTCATCGCCCGTTTCATACCCAACGTCTCCGGTAATCTCTCCACGGTTGTTAGAAGCCACCAAGAATTTCAATGCTTTCTTGGAAGCTCAAGCCGATTAAATGATGATGGAGTCTTAACTACAATATAAAATATAAGCTGTAATATCCCAAAGTCTTGTTAAATATTTTTCTTTGGGAAATTAATATCGTTTTTCACCTCTAAGAAAACTAACATTTTTACTCCATATTGTTGATACTTTTCAATAATGGATGTGGTATACTTTTCTAGTTTGATTTAGTTCTCGATTGGTTTTAGTAAAATTTCTTTGTTATTTGTAAAAGTAAACGTCAAAAACAAATAAAATTTTCTTTTACCATTTAGGATTTCGGGATTTTACCATCCAACTAATCTCTTCAGAATAAATACAACCGTCCAACATCCTGTCCACCGAAATTTCTAATAGCGCTAAATCATTGCACCATTTCGACTCGTTAAATGAGAGTGATTACATTTGAGGGAAATTGACATGTGATCTTAAATTATAGGGCAATTCATTCACAAGTGAGAACCACTAGCCCACTTGGTTTAAACTAAAAAAAAAAATTAGGACATTATTCAATCCTGATCCAATATTGATTGATTTTTTTTTTCTTTTTTTTAGTATTGATAGATGTAGTTCCTAAACATAAATATTGATTCAATATTTCAAAATTATGAAATTTCTTTTCTATTTTCTTCTTTTCCAATTAGGTAGCCTAAAAGCAAATGCAAAGTAATCTAGATCTTAGCCAAGACCGGACTTATAAAGATAAGTTTCAAAATAAGTTTAAATTTCATTAGGTTCGGGTCTGGCTAGAATCTGTCCCTATGAATTATCAATCGAAATTTACAATGACACATGTTTGGCCAACCTAGTTTGGTCCTACCTTGCAACGTTTTAAATTGGTCCCAAAATTCAGAACTCTATAAATTAGAGTTGGACGATTTAAATACACACAGAATCAAAGACAAGTACATTTTATTATGTACAAATCTTCCTATGAGAGGTATATTTGCCTTAATTATATTACAAGAAATAGATTTTGTCTAAAATATTATTCCAATTTATAGAAACTCGTTGAGTTATAGGAAACCATTTAATACAAATTATTAGTGGTTTTAAATGGAAACTGTAGATTTGCAGAGAATATCACAGCTGCAGAGATCATGTAGTTTCGACTAGTTCTATTAAATGTTGTCTCCGACAAAATTCATAAATATATTAAATGATTTAAGTCCGTCCATTACAAAAATCATTATGGGCAAATTTCAATCACTTGTCAAAAATCAAAATTAGAAATTTTGTGAATCGATATCGATATTTAATGTAGGGTTCGTGAATGTGCTAGAATTTGTTTTTACGTAACTTGTTTGCATTAGAATTAAATGCTGAACCGTCGGTGTACATTCGCTATTTATGTTTTTCTTTCTTTATCAATCTCTTGTTTCTATTTTTATTTTTCATCATTACTTGAGGGATTATATTTTGTTAAATGATTAAATGAATAATTGTTGATTTGTTGTCGTTATTAGGAGATTTGTTGATTGGAAATAATTTGTATGATTATTGAGCATTTGGTGACACCAATGAGGACTTTCCAGCGTTTGCGACAATTAACAACCACGAAACTTGGAAGGACACTTTTTGTGGGGTATATCTATTACACTTATGTTTTAATCAAAAAAAGAAAAGAACAAGTAAATAACCTTTCTTCTTTGGAGTAATAGCTATTACAAAAAAAAATTAATTGGTAAGCAAAACAAATTAAATACTTAAGAGATAATTTGATAAATGGAAAATATAAACTTATTAATGATAATTTATGAAATTACTTATACCAAATGACAGAAAATCTTTAAAGTATTTGGAGATGAAATCCTAATCTGCTGGTTTAGTAACAGTACAATTAAAAAATTAGATAAAACATTCTTGTAGATAAAGATAGTAATATTTAATACTCTTTACGTTTCATTTTAAATACTCCCTCCGTTTCGTTTTAGTTGTCGTTTAAGATTTTTTCACACAAATTAAGAAAAGCATTAAATTTTCTGTTTTACCCTTTATTAATATATTTTATAAAAAAATTCATTGGCCAAAACATTAAAACAGTAGGGATAAAACTGGAATTTTCACCAAACATTTGCATTGAAAACCTAAAACGACAACTATTATGAAACAAAATTTAAATCCTAAAACGACAACTAAACTGAAACGGAGGGAGTAATGTTTAAGATTTTTGTTCATAAATTAAAGAATTTTTTATTTTTATTTTTTTCTACATTAATACTATTTCTTACATACTTAAAAATAATGGAGATTTTGAAAACTACCATATTTATGAGTTTTCGTTTGAAAAATATACATTTCTCTAATTTTAATGAAAACTACAATTTTATTATGTAAAATGACAATTTTTTCTACAATTGTTAGAACTAAGTCTTGTGACATATAATATTTTTAGCCAATGTGATAGACTTTATAATATTTTTAGATATTATCTTGTTAAATTTAATATATAAAATAAACAAAATATCTTTATCTCAAAAAATAGTTAAAAGGATAATTAAGATTATTTCGAAATTAGTTTATTCTTTGTTTTTCTTGTAAATATTGAACTTTGTTTTGATTTACAAAAAATACAACTTTTATTTAAATTTAGACAAAATGATCCCTTTATATTAAAAATTGTAGTTTTCACTAAAAATACAGAAATAGAAATTCCCCAAAATAGCACTAAAACAAGTTTTATAGACAATTATAGCACACATTCCATAAACTTCTAAAAATAGCATTAGTTGATTAACTATTAAGTTTTTGTTCTATAATTATTATCATTAGCTTATTTTTTTCAATAATATCACAATTTTTATATAAAAACTATTCAACCAAAATAAATTAGAAATAAATTTAAAATATTAGATTTGGGTTCTTTATTTCTAATTTAGGGTATATATTTTCACCATTTAAAAGAGATATTGATTCATTTTAATATTGAATTTGTTTTATTATGTTTGGGTTCATTAATTCCAATTTAGGGTATATATTTCCACCATTTAAAAAGAGATTTGATTCATTTTAATATTAGTTTGTGGGATTATATTTGGGTTCCCTCATTCCAATTTAGGGTATATATTTCTACCATTTAAAAGAAATTTTGATTCAATTTAATATTATGTTAGTGTTTGCTCTTATTTTCTATTTTAATTAAAGTTTAGGATGCTATTTGTGGAATTTTAGAAATGTTGTGCTAATTTTGAAAAAAAAAAACTTTTTTGGGGCTATTTTTGTCAATTGCCAATAGAAAAATGTGTATTTTTCAAACGAAAACTCAATAGGGTAGTTTTCAAAGAATCAAAATCTCAATAGGGTAGTTTTCAAAGAATCAAAATCTCCCAAGGAATAAATTATGCTTCCCACAATGTTTAATATACAATTTTCACAATGACCATAGTTAAACAAATCTGATCATTTGTCATTGCAAATTTTCGAGTATTTAGTGACTTCATTATAAGAAAGAAAATGTGGAAACTTTTGGTTAATTAACACGACAAAGATCCATCGAAGACCACAACAACTTTCACTAATTCATATAAAGCACTTTTTCCAAATATAATAAATAAATAAAATATTATAAAGCCCATAAATAAAATATTATATACCAAGAATCTGAGCTGTATGATGATATATCTACGATTCTATGAACACATTTTATAATACAATAAAAGAATATACTTAGAAAAACCATAAAAATTGTTACATTCACCTAAATAATACTCTAAAGATTTACGTTACAATGCATAATGATAACATCTCTTTAACCATTCTTCTCCTATCTTCACTGCCTTGTCCTAAGCAAGCGATCTCCAATCGTCCTAATCTCAAACGTCTTCACCGCAAGACCAATATCGCGCATTGTGGTATCAAGAACGTAAGGATTGTTTTCATGAACGATACGGGTACCATTATAAAGATGACGACAAGGCTCACGACGCTGCGAGATTGAACCGTGGTAGTGAAAATACCGGATCTTCCCTTCCGCTCTATGATATGTCTTCCCTTGTAGATTCTGAGACATGTGAACTCCTGTCGCAAATACATTACGCGGTTGAACCGCGTATTTCCTATCCCGTCTTGGTACTTTCTTCACATCCCTATACGCCAATTTCTCAAATCCCCATTTCCTGAATAAAACACACAATCACAAATCAAGAACTATCATCCAACTAGATAGAAAAACCGCAGTAAAAACCTACATTATCGCAACTTTTTTGGAGACAAGAACACATACCCAACAAACTCAAGCTAGTTTTATTGGAATTTAAAAGCTAGAATCTTTGACACAATTCTCACTAACCTGAAAACACAATCCTACAGATCTTGATTCAATATAACATTGACAATAACACAAACCCATCAATATCAAATCCAACCCAATCCCAAATTGGTTTACCTAAATATAGAAATCTCAAAAAGCTAGAATCTTTGAAAATAACTCTCACCCACATGGACCACCATTGAAACACTAATGGAAAAAGTGTTTTTACATGTTAAATGAATCAGATGCTAAATAAAAACCAAAACTTTAAAACTCAAAACTTTACCTGTAAGTCCTCGCCGGACCATCACCGTCGTAACAAAGCTGACTACTCATAGGCATCTGTTCAATAGTAAACTGAGAATATTCCTCCAAAGATTCCATCACCGACGAAATCGTCTCCTTCACCGGAACATATAAAAACTCATCAACATCAAAGAAGAACATCCACTTCGTCATGAATCTATACCTATGCAAACAATCATTCACCACCATGAACTGATTATGATAATAACCATCGAATCGTTCTTGATCTCTTATATCATGTATCGTCACTCTTCCAAGCTCAATCCATGGCTTTAAAACCTCGAACACTTCCTCTGAAATCCCTCCGGCGTCGTGAAGAACAAAATGAGATCTTTCTCCGAAGAATCTAACATGGTAAGCGATCCATTCTCTGATTCTCTGTGGAGATAAGTTTCCGTAGAGAGACGATCCACAATAGAGATAATCGTACTTTTCACGGCGGCGATGGGATTCGTAGAGGGTGAAATCGACGGTGTTTGGAGTTTCGGTGAGGACTGGGATTGAATCGGTGATGTTCCGATCTAAATCTCCGGTGGTTACGTGGAGGAGAAGAGTACCTCCGGTGTTATTAGGGTTTATGACGGTGGTTGACGGGAAAGTACAGTTTACGACGACGGTTGTGTAAACTCTACCGTATCCCCAATCGGTTAAGATTTTGGTTCCGTCGGTTAAAATCCGGTTATCGGATTGGTTTAGTGGAATCCATTCACAACGGTAAGTTGGATGAGCGTAGACATGAAGTGGTTTAGATGATAAACCGATAACGGCGAATGTGTTAACGCCGCCTCTGTATGCGTTCATTAACACGAAGTTATAAGCTGCCCAGCCGTAACCAGTAAACGTCCGTTTAATAACGCCGTTACTTAACACCGTCTCTTCACTTAACGGAGGTTTATCCAGCACCGGCTTCTCAGTCATAACGGCGTTATCTAAGACTGGCTTTTCGACGACGGCGGTGGAATTGACGGAGGTGGAGTTAACGGCGATACGTGAGATGCAGAAACGGAGGTCGGAGGCGGAGATGGAGAAAGAAGAAGGTAAAAATGGGAGGAGAGTGGCTAAAGTGCAGAGAACGAGTAACGCCATTAAAGCGAGTTTAAGCTCGGCGGAGAAGTTCCATAAGAAACAGATGAGGAGGTTTTTGTTGTCTTTAGTGTTTTGGTCTCTCTCTTTAGCCATTTTTCGAGGTTCTTCTTCTTCTTCACTGATTGAAGAAGATGAATCAAATCGTTACGAAGCAGAGAGAAAGTGAAGCGACAGAGGAAAGAGATATAGAGAGAGAGAGAAGAAGAAATAAGAGTCTCAATTTATCATCTTTTAATTTTTATGAATACGTAAAATGGAAAATAATCTTTTTGTTCCTATAATTAGTATAATCATAAATCATAAAGCATTTACAATAGTTTTGGTGGTAATATCATGAAATAAAATAAAATTGTACAGTTGTTCAAAATTTCTATTTTTTACATAAAATAACATTTCTATATTTATAAATATATATGAATTCCTATTTTAAAATAATGTTACATTGATTAATAACATATACTGTATATGAAAAAAATATTTAGTTTATGTGAAAACTATTTTCAATATATGAAAATTATAAATAGAGACTCTTTGTTGCTGTTAGAATTCTCCATTTTTATATATATGCCATTATTAGAAACCAATTTATTTTATTCAATTTTCTTGTCATTTTTCAATTAATATTGAAAAGCTTAAAAAATAATTCTCTTTTATCACATTTTTAAATGTTTTGAAGAAAACTATACATGTGCTAAACAGCATGTTATGTATTTATAAAGAGAATTTAAAGTATAATATAATTAGCAGCCGAAATGAGTTGGATTGAGAGAGAATAAAAAAGGTTTTAGCTTTTTCATAACAGATTTTGTCGTTTTATTTTCTCTTCACACTGCTTTCCTTTTATTTTAAGTTATTTACAAAATCGGTCCTCTAATTTCTCCAATTTAACAACTCAGCCTTATAATTTATCATCGAATCTTTTTTGTAAACAAATTTTATTAGTAAGAATTTATAACTCTGACTGTTTTTTTTTCGTGTAACACTGAATCATGTTTTTTTCGCAGATTACTGTTTTGAATTCACAAGAAAAAATACACAGCAAAAATTAAAATATTGAGTTTTTGATATTTAAATAAAATAAAAAAAGTCTGACGATTAGAAGACTTTTAAAACGACTGATGCTTTTTGGTTTCCTTTACCGACGCATGGGACTTCGCTCTCTGCCAAAATAATATTACACGTCATAATCTACTAACATGTGTACGACACGTGTCAGATTTGTGACCTGCCATGTAAATTTATCATTCTCTTCAACGTTTTGAATTATTGCTTCTTCTTTTTTTTTTACTTTTCGCTTAGAAGCATAGCAAACGGTCGAAAAAAGTAGGCTACTGTTTTCAGAATATTGAGGACTCATCATTATCTTTTTTGATACGCGGAGTTTTTATTTAACCGTCCGGTTTATTCCGGTTTTGGTTATCAGAAGAATACTTTACCGTTTATTTTGCCGTCGAATTTTCTAACATATGTCAAAATATTATTACTTTGTAATGATTTTCGTTTCGTTTAGTTGCGATTTTTTTTTTTATTTGTGTCATCGAATTAGCAGTTTAAAAAATAAAGGGTTAATATTGGATTTTTATCACTTATGCCACTTTATAAAAACTGTTAATTGGAAAATCTAAAGTTTATTTGGATAGTTTTAGTCATTCCAATATTTTGCACATTTGACAAGAAAAATTAACTCGTTTTTCACCATTTTAATACTAAAAGATAAAATTTAGACTTCTTTTTTTTTTGGTCATTCGCACACTTTTAACTAATAGAACCGAATTTTTATGTCGGTTGTCCCAATAATCGAAACGCAAAGGATTAATTAGGGCCTGTGTGCTTGAAAAAACAAAAGATCAGGGCCTAAGTGTACTGATGTAAATAATGGGCCTTGAGGCCCTTCATAATGTCATTCAAAACCATTATGGGCTTCAGTCTCACTATATTGTGTATTTGCTTTGTAAAAAATAGGAGAAATACACAACACATCCATTTTTTCTATTTTGTGTACAAGATGATTCTTAAAAGCGTAAAATGTAGTTTAATTACAAAGTAAGCATAAAGTTAAACGATTTAAAATGGACAGATGGAGGATATAGTATGATTAATTCCACAAGGAAAACAAAGAAACCACAAAGTGAACATGTGTTCTATATATACGATAAATAAAACCTCCGTAATCGATTAGATCTCCAATGATTAATGTTGATTTTAACGTACCTTTATGGATATAATTATATAAATGATGAAATACGTAATTATGTGTCATTATTATCCCCCATGACTCTAGTTTTTCTTTTAAGAATTGCATCATTTTTCGTAGCAGATGGGGTCTAACAAACAAAGCTTCTTTTCATAATGGCTTTGATTGGGAACATGTACAGCTGTGGTATATGATATACTGTTTTGACAGTTACCAATCATATAAGCGTTACCAAAAACGTTATTTTAAGTTTTTTTATACAGTTTTCATATACCACATTTTCACAGTTTTGCATTATTCTGTAAAAAGTTATTGTTCCGTTTACATCTAAAAATTTTGTACAGCTTTATGTTACCAATCAGACTCAACGTTTTTTCCAACTCAAAAGTTAATAAAATTTATTATCAGCTAAAAAAAAAGAGAACAAAACATAGAAAAGTTTCATTGATAATCATCTACCACATGACATTGCTTCCCAACTTTAGCACATGCTTTGTGGGATCTACCTCTTCTTTACATTATTCCCCATATCCCACAAACTATTAACCTCAAAAACAAATTAAACAAACTAAAATAAATACCACTCATATATATATTAAATTCAAAGCAGAATCACACACACACACCAAAAGCTTTTGTAGAAATATCAATACCTAAAGTTAGGACCTCAAACCTAAATATCACATGGTGGATATAGTATTACAATGTTGACAAAAAGGAAAATATATAGTACTAAAAAATAATAACACATAAATATTATTTATTTACATATAAATTAAAGCCAATGTGACAACAACAACAATAATCTTTTTGCCTATAAAGCCGCCATGCCCGTACACTCGAGATGCCTCGGACATGTGATCAAGTGGTCGTTGGTTAAACCGGCGGCTTGCATTAACGAATGTATAACCGTCGGACCAACGAATCTAAACCCACGACGAACCATGTCTTTGCTTATAGTCTCTGATTTCGATGTCTTAACCGGTATCTTTTGGCAAGATGTGTATTTTGTGGTGACCGGTTTGTGTTTCATAAACCCCCAAATGTATTTGTTGAATGACCCAAAATCTCTTTTCACCTATAAAACAAATTCAGATAATTTTACTTTTAACAATTATAAGATAAATTTGGCAATTTAATTATATGTATATTGTTGATACCAAACTAATATATATACCTTGAGAATTTGTTTAGAGTTGTCAACAATTGCAAGGACTTGGCTAAGGTTAATGCCATAGTCGTTGACTATTGATTGTATCTTCTTCTCGTTGAAGTCTGCGACCAACTCTGCTTCGAAACCAGAGAAAGCCTCTCTGTGAAACCAAAGGTTACAAAGTAAGACCAAAAAGATTACCAAAAATAAAGTAAAAAGGTAGCAAAATTTAACTTTGATTTCTTTACCTAAAAGTGTTTCTTCTCTTCAAAACCGAAGTCCAATCTGATCCGACCTGAGCTCCGGTTAACACCAGAAGCTCAAATAGTAGCCTGAAAAAAGATTTGAACATTAATCATAATTAGTTTCAATTCTCATAAAAATTGGTCTTATTTATCAAGAAATGAAAATTTCATTTACTTGTCATCATGAACTGGAACTCCCCATTCTTTGTCATGGTAATCGACATATATTGGATCTGTGAAAACAAATTAAAATTTTGGATCCAATTAATTAAAGTTGACTTGTAATCGAAAAGGAAAATATGTTTTCTTGCTTAACAAGTAACCTTTACAGACCTGAACTTGTAGTGATGAAACTGCACCTCTTCTTCTTTTCATGCTCAACATTTAAGTTCTTTTCGTTTGATTTTACGGATTTGATTCTACCGTAATGAGAAATTTTCTTCTTTCTCTCTTCTTGTTTCATTGCAACCTCTTCTCTTCTTGCAGCTGCTATACTTCCAGGCTGTTTCTCAACAATCACCATTAAGACAACCTCTTTGTAGCCACCATCACTATTCTCTGGTGATTTCACTGGTTTTGATTTTACAGAGCTAGACCTAAGTAGCTCCTTGCAAGAACCGGCCGGTTTTCTTAAGGATTTTGAATTGGGAGATAAAGGAGGAGAGTTTAGAGAAATTGGTCTTGGTGAGTGTATCTTTGATGCTGCAATAGGATTCAAAGGCTTAGGAGGAGATTTCTTGAGAGAGTTACGTCGGTCTAATGTTGGAACTTGGTTCGATTTCGGTTGAAGAACCGGACGACCGTTGATCTGGGAAATGTTTTCTTGGGTCAGGTTTTTTAATTTTGAGGAACACATTTTTTTTTTTTCTGTCTAGCTTTGTGTTCTTGAAGGATGATGATAAATGAGATGAAACAAAGTTGAGATCTCTAAAAGGGTTTTTATATGTGGGAAAAGAGGATGATGTCTTTGTGGGGTAGGTATCAAATTTAATAGTTGCTAGTTGGCAACTCATATTTAATATATGCATACTAATTAGTTAAGGTTTTTGATACAAGAGTCTTGGATTGTGTTTAATGAGGTTTGTGGGTTTTAATTAGGGTTTTTTAATTAATTAGTGTTTGGGAGTGACAAGGAAGTGGGTTTCTTTAGGAACATGGTGGGGTGAGACATGTAATGCAATTCCAGAATAGCCTATGGCTTAGGGAAGTGCTATCTTGGGTCACATTGTAGGACAAGGACACCACATTCTTTTTTTCTTTCTTACCTTTTTCTGATATTATATATTTCCAAAGCATTTTGTATCTAATCGCTTGATATTATCTTATCTATCTACAGAAGAATTTATGCTAAATGCGCATCTTAAGCTTTCAAATATAGGGGATGTGCCTTTAGTCGAGTGGTTAAGCCCATTTGACTCCGCCTTCCCCACTGGAGTTCGATTCCATTAAGTTGTGTTACCCCGCGTAGTAGGGATTGACTATGGATCGGACCTTGTCGATCCAAAGATGTCAAAAAAAAAAAAAAAAGCTTTGAAATATCGATAGTTTTTTTTGTTTGGTTAGTTCTTCATAGATTGAGAAATATTTGTTTCAATGTAATATTGATTATCAATAGAAATTGTTAATTATGTGCTATTTTGACTCATGGTTTCGGTTTGTGAATGTGTATGAGTTCTGATTGGTAACACGCAAATATATCTAATCAGTATATAATTTTATTTTACAAACTTTTGTTATACGAGTTTTCATTCTACGATTTATGTTATTATGCAATTATGTTCGGAACCTCTTTTTTTTGTTTAAGTTATTGGCAAATAGCAATTTGTAGCGAGAAGAAAGAAGGGTCCTTCTCTCACTTTTGCCATTACTGTTAATATTGCAAGTGCCGAGTTATTTTAATTTTGAGAGAGACCTTTCATTTAAGATCCAGCTTGACAATTTGCTTCACAATCAAATCTTTTATTTTTTTCCTTGTTTGAAAAATCGCTAGGCGCTAGTCGGGCGCTCGGCATTGGCATGGGCCTAGCGATTAATCGGAAAATCGGATTAAAATCGAGGATTAATCGGAGATTAGTTTTAGGGTTATTTTAATATTTTTAAAATATATTAATCCAATATTGTAAAAATTTATGATTTTTATTACAAATTTATGATTTTTATTAAAATTTGAACACAAGTTATTGTAAAACATCACAAACTCCCAATTCAAATGATTGAATAACAAAAATAAAAAGTTTTTTTATACTTGCAATCTAAAAAATAATCGGGGTATATAAGATTAGGCGGGAAATAATCGGATTAGGCGGAGAATAATCGGGTTACTGATTTTTTAGGGGATTAGTCATTAATCGAGGCGGATAGGGTGGGCCTAGCGATTAAGCGGGGAGTAATCGGGGCTAGGCGGGGATTTTTAGAACAAGGATTTTTTTTGCTATTTATTACACCTCTGTTCGGATAGATTTTCGAAATTAACCAAAACAATATTCATCGACAAGTAAACTACTAGTTGCGTGTGATTTATGAACAGTATATTTCTGTCAATTTAAGAAGTAAAATACTAGTCGCATGTGATTATGAACAATATATTTCTGTCAATTCAAGAGTATTGCCGTAAAAAAAAAAAGAAGAAGTTTGAAAAAGAGTCACAAATTAAATTTTCAATAAAATTATGTAGCTAATCGTCCCTATAATTTTAAAGTTTAGACGAAATCATAGCTATGGTTTTCATTTGTTTCCGACTCGGGTTGACGAGTTGAGTTTAATTATGTTAGAGGATGCTAATGGGACTGCGCGCCCAAGAAGTGTTCGTGTTTAGTTTTTTTTCTTTCGTTTGAATAAATTGTGGGAGGCATTGCCTCCCGCTCGCCTACCAAAAAAAAAAAATGTCGTTTTAAGTTTCAAAATAAATGTCTTTTTTGTTTTTAATGTAAAATTTGATATTAAATACAGAATTTAACCTCCAGTCTAAATTAACAATATAACATAATATCAAAAAAGAAACTTGTTCTTTCAAATGATATTAATAAAAATTATATATATTTTAGTTTATATAAAAATAATGATATTTTTGGTGAAACAGAGGGAATATCACAAATTAACATTTGAGAAAAATGGATTTTTGCGATTGTCATTATTAAGATATATACAAGGCCTTAATTATGACAAATACTTACCTAGAATAAGAAACTAGTACAATACTGAAATGATAATAATACATATAAATGAGAGAAAGAAAAAGATTGGCATACGAATATAAATATGAAATTGGTCCCAAGATTCAAGCTGTGTAACAATGGACCATCTTCCAGCTTTTTTTTGTGTGGAATCTCATCTTTTAGCTAACTAAAGCTTACATTTTAGCCTTTATCTACATATATGGTCCTTCAAACTTATATACTAATAATTAAAAGCTTTAAGGATAAACATATCAAAAACAAATTAATAACAGGATCTGACCCATGCAATTATTAATTTTTTTTTTTGAAACATATATTTCTTAATTGTTTTTCAGAGAGGTAAAAATCAAATTTTCATACTTAAAATTTTGCAGAGGTAACATCGCCACTTCCCCTAAAATATTTAAGCAAATAGACAAACCACTAATTAGTTCATGTTTTAATTCGAAATCCTCATAATAATTATTAGGACAAATTAGCAAAACACATCACATGAATAAACAAATTAATTGGTTAATTAACAAATTAAGTGGTCTAGAAAAAGGTAATCATTTAAAAGTAAGCTAAAGCTTTGTAGGATGACAACCGAACAACCAAAGTCTCTTCAAACGTCAACTCTTTCTTCTTCTTCTTAATAGACCGAAATCTCCTTTAATAATCATTAATCAAAGGACATGAAAATGTTTGATGTTTTATAAGAAGATAATATTACAAAAAGGTAGAGAAAAAAAAGAAGAAAATGAAAATGATGGGATGTGATTCTTTAAATGGAATCACGAGGAGGAGACATCCCATGTGTTAATGAATAAACCACATAAAATAAATTTTTGTGACTTGATTTAACATTTAACAAAATATGAAAGTTTTCTTAAAGCTTTTCATTTTCTTTAAAACGAGCTTTAAATAGTTTTCTCTTTTCCTTTCTTCGGGCAAACAACTTTTGTTGCTCTTATACTTGTATCATGGTGTTTTCTTCAATATATTGATAAATGATAATGATACTTATAGACATGCATGCATGATTGTAAATTATAACCTATATTGTAGAAAGATGTGAAGAGCACTTTCATGTCATGTGGCTGGTCTGGTTTTGGTTTATGAATGTCTAAGAATAACGTTTTTAATGATAATTATCAATTATTAATTAGCATATATATTTCAGTAATATTTAAATTAATTGTTGATAATACATAGTGAACCCATTAATAGTAAGCATATTCAAGCTTAGATCAATATAAATTGGTATATTAGTTTTTAATATCAGTTGAATTAATCATACTTTATATTATGAGGTTTAATATGTTGATAACTTTATTTTCTGTCCACTCAAACTATAAATTATTTTTTTCTACTTGAGTTTTTTTTTTTGTTTCATATGATTATATAAAATGTTTTTTTAAGTATAATGTATTTTCATATACAGGACCGGCGTTTAGGGAGAGCAAGAGGAGCAAATATGCAGGTCCAAAATTTTTTTGGGTAAATTTGAGGGCCCAAAGTTTTTTTTTAGTAAGAAAAAAGTAATTTTTAAGACTTTAAAATATTTTTAGCATGAAAAAGTCTAATTTTTTTTTTTTGGTACGAAGAAAGGGCCAATTTTTAAGATTTATACATGGACTCCAAATTAATTGAGTCGGCCTTGTCATATTTTTATATATTAGTGGTTATGCTATATATGTAGCAAAGTATTAGTATTATCGATATATTGTATTCCAAATCTAAATCCGTATAATGGACCAAAATATATAAATTTTTTTTTTTTTTTTTTGACGGCAATTCGAGCCCGTTCAAAGTGGTTGAGTCTCTAGTTGAGTTGCACTCCCACCAGGGTTCGATTCTATATTGGTACCAAGTTTGGACCAAAATATATAAATTATAGTATATATTAAGTAGGATGAAAGAAACTGTTCAAGAGATATGTCCAACCAATGTTGGGCAATCTAAAAACTTTGTCTTTAGCCAATTTATATCTGTAGTCGTTACAAAGGGTCCCTTAATTATTTGAATACTCTATATCATTTTCATGTTTTTTGCTGCAACGATTTTGGCCAACACATTAAATTCTGATTACATAAAATCATCAATTAGTGAAACCCATATTTACAAATTACAAACATTCTTATTATATATACATGTAAAAGTTTATAAAATATAGAAGAAAAACTTTACTTAGTATATATAATCAGATTGTTTCACCTTACCAAGTTAAATTTCTGAAATAGGTTAAAGTTTTTTTTTTTTTTTTTCCGTCTGTTTCTTGTGCCCTAAGAATCAAGAAATGCCCTCACAACATTTACAATTGGAGCCATACAGATCGGACATTTCCTACTACTCCATTGAAGCTCATGAGCACATTTCAGACAAGTTCACATATGTCCACACCTGCGAAACAAAACCGCAATTTCGTTACAGCGTTTGCGTTTTAACCGCAATCGCTTTCTAGGCTCTACAAGCAGACATATAAGTACCTATATAGAAGCGAGTTTATAGGCATCTCCAAGCAGACAGAACAATTTCTTTCCAGAGAATCTGAAACTGAGTTTGGCATAGTTCATAGTTATAGTTACATCATCAATGGAGGATTCTAATTGAATCGCGAATAGTTTTCAATGTTACTCACCAGAAAGTGATTCGAATTGCATGGATTTTTGGAAATCGACGCAAGATTTGACCAAAAGTTTTAGTTCGAGCATTTCTCTTTGAAGCTGTTTGATTTGTTCTCTGAGATCACATATCATCTGTGTATCCTGTTTTAACCATAAATCTGTTACTTTACCAACACGCAACCCTATTGACCTAAGAAAAAGCATGATCCTTAGTATTCAAAGAAATTGTTGCCGCAATCAAGAGATAGTGGCTAAAACCATCACTTACAGTTACTGGTTCTAGATTTTCCTTCTCTGTTTCATTTTCTTCTAGGTTCTCTTGGTACCTTGCTGAACAATCAACCAAACTCTCCTCGTTATCTTCTTCTTCTTCTTCTACAAGATTGCTTTCTACTTCTAACCTCTTTTGCATACATGAGATCATGATTTTATCAATCTTTTCCCGAAAACCACCTTCGAGGAAGCTAGAAACAGTCCTCCTACGCAAGCAATCACATCCTTAAAACATCGAAAAGTTACTAAAGCTAATCTTAAAAAAGAAGAATTGATCACATATCATACCACTTGATCAAGTTCCACATATCATCTTTCTCTGAATTCTTGTTCATAACCTCAAGCTCCCGCTCTTTCTTGAGATATTCCCAGTAACTTCGTGGCCGCGATACATCACTAATCCAATCATGATACACACTCTCTCCATTGTAATCTTCATTTTCTTCATATTCCGTTTCATTTTCATCCGAATCATTTAGAAATATTGGTGATTCAAGAATCAGGCACAACGGTTCTGAAGCTTCTTGCTTCTCGGCTTTTGATGTGTCTTCATCGTTTTGTGAAAATATTTCGTCTTTACCGCACTCTCTTAATACGTGACTGACAGTCTCTTCTTCCTTTCTTCTATCCAAACAAACCATTGATGTAACTTCTTGAGGGTTGCTTCTATATTCCTCAATCTCCATGGTTTTGCCTTCTTCAAAAATACTAACTTCTTCTTTCTTTCGCATTTCGTCGTTTCTCCCAATAGTCTTCACATCAATGACTCTTCTTGCATCTTTTCCCTCGTCTTTAGCTTTTCTCCTATGAGCTCTCTCCTTAGGATCCCAAAGATTCACCTTCTCTGCAATACTCGATGAAGACTTGTTCGTTTCTTCTCCTTCCTTCACAATAGCTTTCCTCTCAATTTCAGGTTTCTTTGAACCGTTCTCATTGCTTGCAGCTTTAGTAAAGACGGGTTTATTGGCAATTTCCGTCTTATAAGCCGCGGCCTGATTTTCCATCGTGTTACTTGTCTCCATTGTTTCTTGCAAAACATTCTCCACCCGAAAAGATACTAGTCTAGACAAATTTTTAGTTTCTACTGCGCTATTCATATTGCTGCCAGATCCCTTCTCAGTATTAGTCCTATATCTATCCCTGCAATTTGATTCAATGATGAATCAATATAGTTTGGTTTAAAAATCTTCTAGAAGTTCAAAATAATTGAAGACAACTATAAATAACCTGATCATACCCTATATTCATCACACTAGATCCTCGTGAAGACCGGTTTACATCGGATGTTGCTGATTTCGACCGATATCTTTCTTGAATCGCAATGCAACTTTCCAAACTTCGGATTCTAAGCATATACTAAGTAACAAGGAAGTGGTCATATTAAGTAACATCGTCTAAATTGTAATGTATTAAATTACAAATTTAGATAAAAGAAAAGTACCTGAAGACGCCCACATCCGCGAGGCGAGAACTTTGAAACCGCGCAGCAACCAACGAGCCATTCTAGCTCGTTTTTTCGGTTACCCAAAATCATCTTACTAACATCTTCATTTGCTTGCCGCCCTCTTATCCTAGGGGTACTACAACTAGCAAGCTCAAGAAAACATCTTCCTTCTCCATCATTCTCATAAGAATTTGAAACATTACTCATGTCTGAATCTATTTCTTCACTACTACTTTCGTTGTTTTTTCTCGCCTGGTCGTTGAGAAATTCAGAAAATGAACTCGAATTCGAAATGTCGGAGAGACTTAGTCCAGAACTTGTCCTGCTATCAAATAGCGATTGACTTAGACTCGAGCTTGACTGCTGCGACCGAGCTTCCCAAATCTGAATAGCTCCCATGATAACACCATTTCTTGACGAGGTCTCAGGTTGACCCGGATTATAAAATGGATTGGAATTGGTCTCTAGTGGATAAGAAGAAGGAATCTGCAGAGATTCCCCTGTTTCAAAAACAGAGGATCTTGAATAACATTCAAGAACCTCTTTATTTTTCCCATCTTTGTTACTTCCAGAATCATCGACAATTAAAACACGACAGTTGTTGAAACGATCTCCAACAAAAACTTTGAGATTCATTTCTTTCTTGTTACGATCCCTCCAAGCCATTTCTATAGACGCCTGAAAAACTAAAGTTCAAAACAAATCCTCTTCTCTGTTTTTCACACTAAAGAACAATGAAAGAAAATAACTATAATCGAAAGCGATTACGAGGAAACGATTTTGCTTTCCACGAACGCCGAGAACAAACAAAATTGTTTAGACAGAGGAAAAAAGGAACAGAACAGAGTAACTGAGAAAAATTTATGCAAACATATGTTCCTTTTGCTGTTCTTTAGTCCTCTGTTTCTGAAAACTGTAAACAGAAAAAGAAACAAAAACAGAGGACTAGTAGAGAGCAAGGAGAGAATGAAAAGAATAATATCTAGAGAAGAAGCTGAGTTTTAGGACTTGCTCTTACTCAATTTATTATTTAAGGGATAAGGATAATTGTGTGTATTACTTAAGAAAGTTATTTTTCTTGGATTTTATAACTAGTTTGTGTATTTTTATAATGAGATCTTCTATGTTAAAATATAGTACACTATCTAAGTGCTAAAGACCGGGTACATGATTGTGTACGAATAGTACTTATCTCTATACTAAGAAATAGTAGATTTTCTTCTTTAGCCAGATTAGAAAATTGAGAAATTTGTTAAAAGTCTCAAGAATCATAAGAAAGCAATACATGCTTGATTACGTTATTTATCACAAACTGATATGTTTACTAAGCAAATAATGCATCAATCTACTCTCAACCAAAACAGAGTTTTCAAAAGAAGAAATATGTCGAGTTTGCTCAGCTTTCGCGTCTCGAAAATCATTTATCGGTGTTAGATTGCGCCTCCCTGTAACTTGAAGCTCTATTGTTGAAGACATTAAGAAGGTAGTCACTAGCTTGTCTTGAAGATGGTCTCTCTTGAGGATAAGTCTTTGTGCACTGAATTGCTATTTCAAGAACCTGGTAAGCTGCTTCTTCTTCGCGGGGTAAAAGCGGTTTAAGCTCTGAATCAATCAGCTTCTCTCTTGCTTCAGAACCCGGTGGCGTCTCAAGAACCATCTCTACCCATCTAACCATATCCGTCTCTTCATCAAACATTGTTTCGGTTGGCATTTTACCAGTCACTATCTCCATCAAGACTATCCCCATACTGTAAACATCGCTCTTCTCAGTCGCCTTCAACGAGTAAGCATACTCTGTGAAAAAAAGAACGGTTCCAAAAACGTTAGGTTCAACAGTGGAATCGAAGTTAAGAAACCCGAGAAAGACATGTACCTGGCGCGATGTAGCCATAAGAGCCTGCAAACATAGTGTTTGATTCTGTGTTGGTGTCATAATTCCCGGTTAAGATCTTGGCGAGTCCGAAATCTCCTAAATGTGCTTCCATGTTGGAATCAAGAAGCACATTACTGGACTTAATATCGCGATGAACAATCGGTGGAACACAATCATGATGAAGATACTCCACTCCTTGAGCCAACCCAACTGCTATTTTCAATCTTGTTTCCCAATCAAGAATATCCTTCTTCTTCGTCTTCTCGTTCGCATGAATCCAATCCCAAACGCTTCCATTCGCCATATACTCGTAAATCAACAGATTCAAGCCATCTGCCTTACTGCTGCAATAACCCATTAGCTTAACCAAATGTCTATGTCTGATTGTTCCAAGTGTCTTAACCTCTCTGTTAAAGCTCTTGTTTGACATCAAATCATCTTTCCAAAGAATCTTCTTCACAGCAATCGTCTCGCCATTCTTCAAATCCGCTTTGTAAACTTTTCCTGAACCTCCTGATCCAATCATGAACCCGTCGTTAAGATAATGTGTAGCTTCCATAATGTCATCCCACTTTATATCTGACTTTGCACCTCCATTTCTAAAGAGAGGAGCTTGTGATGAAGAAGAGTTTGATGAGAATGCGCTGTTTCCGCCTCGCACTTTCTTGAAAAGATCATGATTTTGCTTGAAGAAAAGGACGATAACAAGTATCATCAAAGCAATCGCTGCTAATGATGAAATTGCAGAGATTATAACCACGGTTTTGGGACTAAGACTTCGTTGCTTGTTTGATCCAGCTCTGTTACAGTGACTAAGAGGGCTTCCACAAAGACCTGCATTGCCTACAAATGCATCAGCTTGCCATCTAGAGAACTGTTTCTTTAACTTTCCCTCGAGGTTGTTGTAAGAGAGGTTAAGATATCCCAAGCTTTTCATGTCACCGATTTGGCCAGGAACTTCTCCTACAAGCTGATTGTGAGACAGATCAAGAGATTCAAGCTTATGTAAAGTCGAAATCGTCGATGGTATACGTCCCGTAAAGTTGTTGTAGCTGAGATCTAAAGCACTTTGAAGATCTTGTAGCTGTCCAATCTCAACTGGGATCTCTCCGGTAAAAGCGTTTCTCGATAACCGAAGCTCCAAAAGTTTGCTCAGCTTGCCTATCTCTGAAGGAAGAGGACCTGAAAGCTGATTCTTTTCAAGGTTCAACGCATTGAGAGCTTCCAAGTTTCCAATCTCTTGCGGGATTGAGCCGTTAAGTGAATTACCATCTAGAGATAGCGTAAGAAGACGGGTTAAATTGAAAATCTCAGTAGGGAGAGACCCAACAAACTGATTAGAAGAAAGCTTGAGCTCTCCCAACAATGGAAGATTTCCAAGCCATGGAGGTATAACACCTGAAAGAAAGTTATCGTTGAGATCAACGTGTGTCAGCTTCTTGCACAAACCGAGCTCTACCGGTATGATTCCCGTGAGAGAATTCCTCGAGATATCCAACAAAGAAAGCTCACGGATCTTCCCAAATGTCCAAGGGATTCTTCCTGTGAATTGATTCTTCCCTAGCCTTAAACGATCAAGATTCAGACACTTACCTAGCTCAAGAGGTATGTCTCCCTCGAATCCGTTGTCCGTGACATCAAACGAGAGATAAGAGCTTGAACCGCACAACGGACTGATAGTACCGTTAAACTTGTTACTGGAAAAATTGATTCTTGTGAGATTCTTCAGGTTGATAAGCGAATGCGGAAGATTTCCTTGAAGAGCATTATTGTAAATCATAAACAATTCTAACGCCGTTAAGAACCCGAACGAGGGAGGAATCGAACCCGAAAGCTGATTATCCGCTAAATCCAAAACCGTCATTCGATGACAGTTACCCAAACTGGCGGGAATGTTTCCCACAAGCGCATTCTCTCTCAAGTGAAGCCGAGTAAGCTCTTTCAATCTTCCTATTGAAGAAGGAATCTCTCCACTCAAACGATTCCCATACCAATCAATCTCCTTCAATTTCGTGCAATTCCCAATCTCAACCGGCATTTCACCCGAAAACCGATTCTCATATAGATACATAATCTCCAATTTACCAAGAAATCCGATTTCCTTCGGTACCTTGCCTTCCAAGTTATTGTGATACAGAGTAAACTCTTGTAGATTCGTGAGGTTTGATATTGAGGAAGATAACGTACCCACCAAGCTATTGTTGTTAAGATAAAGATTCGTGAGTTCAACGAGCTGAAACAACGAATCCGGGATTCGACCTGTGAGCGTATTGTTCGACAAATCAAGCTCTTCTAGTAACTGACATTTACTGATTTCCACCGGAATTTCGCCGGAAAGTTGAGTTTCAGACAGAACCAGTTGCTTCAAGCTCGTGTTGTTAGAACATATAGTCTTTGGTAACGAACCAGAGAGACGATTTTTCGCTAAAACCAAAGCAACAAGCTGATTCATTCTCCAGAACTCTTCGTGTATTTCTCCGGTGAGATTATTCGAAGACAAATCAAGTATTTGAAGATTCCTTAACTCTGTTAATCTCTTTGGAATCAAACCTTGTAACTGATTAGCAATCAAATTAAGGTAATTGAGATTAAACAAATCACCGAGTTGACTCGGTATCTCACCGGAGAAACGGTTTTTTCCCCAAATTTAGTGTCTGGAGGTTCTTAAGTCGACTCAGCTCCGCCGGTAACGAACCGTTGAGACGATTCACCGCCGCGGCAAACATAACGAGGCTGGTGCAGTTTCCGATCTCCGCCGGAATCGGTCCTTCGAGCTCGTTATCTTGTAGATTCAAAGCCTGGATTTGAACGAGACTACCGAGTTGACTCGGTATAAAACCGGTGAGTCTACACGAAGCCAAAGCTAGCATCTGGAGGTTGACGAGGTTCCCAAAAGTCTCCGGGATTGTTCCGTTGAGCTCGTTGTCACCGAGTTTTAACGACTTGAGATTCACGAGTGAGCCGAGTTGACTCGGTAACTCGCCACTGAGTTGGTTAGAGAAGAGATGCAACGATTCCAATGAAGAAGAGAGGTTAGAGAGAGTCGTTGGGATGGGACCAACGAGACGGTTCGAAGACAAATCGATGTGGATTAGGTTGTTAAACCGGCCGATTGAAGGTGAAATTGACCCGGTTAAACCTAAACCGGAGAGATTTAAACCGATGATTTCACGACCACCGCATGTGACGCCGGTCCAGTTGCAGAAATTGGGATCACCGGAATTCCAATCTCGGAGAAGGTTTTCTTCTTTTGGGTTTGTGAGAAAAGAGTTCTTTAGTTCGAGAAGAGTTTCAAGATCGTCTCTTTGACCCGGTTGACCCGAACCCGACCCGATTGAAAAACAGAGGAGAAACAGAGCAAGAAGAACAGAGTTTTGCTGCATTTTTTTCTTCTTCAAGAAACAAGAGATCTGTGAGTAGTAGTGAATGAAAGAAGCTTCTTCGAGTTCTTGTGATAGTGAGACGACTAGTGTTGGAAACATAGAGAAGTTAAGACAATTGTTTGGTTTTTGATGAAGTAAGACGATTGGTTATAAGAACGGTGCATGGGGACTATCTCTGTCTCTCTGTATACGCGTATAAGTTTGTGTGTGTGTTTGATGTGGTGAGTAGGAGGAGAAGTAAATGCAGAGGATAAAGCTTTTTTGGGATCGGCTATAAAGGCTAGAACTATATATAGAGTTTTTTTTTTTTTTTTTTTCTCTCTACTGTTTTCGGATCTTTCATTGAGAAGGAAAGAGATTAATGAGAAAGAGAAGAATAAGGTCAAATATGGTCAGAGAAGAGACATTGGAAAATGCAATTGCATGTGTCCATTTATGTTGCGGCTATGCCAATGTGTATTTATGTTTTTTTCTAGTGGCACTTAAATTGTTTTGGATTTTAGTTTTGTAAAGAAGTTTAGATTCCTCCTCATAATCTCTTCGAACTAGAGACCAAAACAAATAATTTTGTTGTTTATTAAAAATAAAAAAAAACAAATAATTTTGTTTTTCCGTTGTTAATGATCGAACTTCGGAATCTTGAAACTCTTTTTCGATAGAGTGATGATACATTGGTTCATCTATCGACACCAAAAATTTCGATAATATTGCGGAATGGTGAAATGATTATATGCTCAGCTGCAAAATTTTATTAAACATATAGTTTTTCGAAATAACGATTTATTTTCAGTATTTTGTGTGTTTAAGTGATCAATCTCTTAAAATAGTTTAATTATTTTGCTATTTCACTCAATAATATATTTGTGATTTTTGCGATCTTGTAGATTCGATGAATTTGCCTCCAATCCGTAAAATTTTACTGGTTAAAATACAGTAAAAACTAAAACGATGTGAATTCTATAGATGTTGTGTAGTCTTCAATTTATCCTTTTCAACCCTAATCTCTCCATTTGTTTACAAACATTCAGTTTGATGAGAGTTTAAGTTGTGTAAGTAATGGTAATGAGAAAAGAGATTTATCACAATGAGATAAATAAGTTCTATGGTAATGGCAATACATATATAAATTTATATGGCTTTGACCTTGGCCAAGGAAAGAGAGTAGTTGAGATGAGAGATGATGACTTGGTTGAAGGATATTTCTTTAATTTCTGCTTTTGTTGTGAAATGAGTTAGCTTCTCATTACTTAAGTCCTTTCATCAAAAAAGAGGGCAGTTGTATTTCTATTTTTAGATTCATAGAAACATTCACATATATGTTAAATATTACATATATTCTTAAGTATATACTATGATTTTTATGATAAACATATTTATTATATTAATAAATACTTCTTCTATTTCACAAAAAATATCATTCTATTAAGAAAAATAATCAAATTTTATTTATACCCCTTATTAATACACTAGATAATACTCTCTCTCTGATTAATAAGTTGAAATCATATGGATAAAAAAAAAAGAATTAGTCTTAAAAACTGCATTGAAAACACAAAACGACACTCTTTGTGAAACAAGATTAAAACTTTAAAACGATACTCTTTATGAAACAGAGGGAGTATAAAAGAGAGTAAATTTCATACAAAAATGAACAAGAAAGTCTTAATATTATAGATTGACAGAATAGTCTATAATCTAAACCATAGAATTTAAACCCTCAAATCTTAAAAAATGGTATATTTTTCCTTAATTTTTACAAGATCTAACCTATCTTTTAAATTTATATTATCTTTAAAAAGAATATTGCTCAATCATCCCTATAAATAATTGCTAGGTCAAACGCGTTCTCTCATCCATATTATTTTGTCAATTGTCATCACCACCAAACTCGGCAACATATTGGTTAGTTCTAACTCGATTCTCTTTGATATTTTCCCGATTAAAAAAAAAAAGATTTTGTAGATGTCATCTTTGAAATAAAGGCCGAAGTATCTAGCTGCTGAAGTTGAATCACACCGTGTTCATACACTATAGAAATTCAATTGTGGATTCTCTAATACTACCATCTATATACTACCATGAAAGAGACAACAATGGATTACAAATGCTTTAATTTTTCTTTTGCTTAAATGATAAATACAGAACATTTTGATCATAAATATATGTTTTTGAAAAAATAGGGACGACGTCGACATGTGACCTCAAGATTACGAGTTCGAGTTTTAAGAGTAGATGGGAGACTAGTTTAACTTGTTCTTATCTCCGATCCAAAAAAAATTATGAACCTTTGTTAAAGTCCAAAACTTCTTGATTAGAAAACAAATGTTTTCTTTAACAATATTTTAGTTAAATATAGGAGTCAATTTCCTTTGTAAGAAATCGTAAAATTCATTAGTCTAAAATCAATTAATGTAAAGTATCAATCTGATGTGAAGATGGTGACACGTCATATTCATTACTCCCTCCGTTTCATAAAGAGTGTCGTTTTAAGGTTTTATTTTTGTTTCACAAAGAGTGTCGTTTTAGGTTTTCAATGCAAAATTTAATGATTTTTTATGTTTTATGACTATTAGTATTCTGCATATTGTTTTACTATTGGGCAGATTATGTTTAGGTATATAGTTAATGATGTTTTTGTTTAGAAAAAACAAAAAATTTAATGTTTTCTTAATCTGTGTGCAAAACTCTAAAATGACACTCTTTGTGAAACAGAGGGAGTATAGTTTATATTTGTGAAACGTTAAGGTGTACAACTATTATCTTATGGAAAACATTCTCCTTTTGTATAAATGTGATGTTATCCCTGAGATATGATCAGTCTCAAATTGCATAGTTAATTAATTGTCTTCTTAACTTGTGGTTGTGCCTCTTAATGAAACCCAATTGCTAATAATTCATCTTCTTTCTTCTTTTGGCTCCTACTGATCAAACCTAGCCACATATAAGACAATATAGGTAATCAATCCATCTCAAAGTATTGGGCCTTTGGCTACTTTTATGTGTATCATTGAAGCAAACTCTTTCTGTTACGTTCCACAATTCTACATCTTTGGAATAAACCGGTTTTTCAAATACTTACTTACATATGATGTTTTTTGGGGGGTTTATACTCAAACTAAGCATCGTCAAGCCAATGTATATATTAAATACGTCTCTCATATCGAACTCGTGATCTTGAGTTACATTAAATACGTCTTTTTGCTAAAAGATTGTAAAAGATGTGACTAATTAATTTAAAGTATTAATTATAAAATTTATTTCTTAAAACTAATAATCATCTTTTCATACTTTTTACTTATTGTAGCACCTTGACAACATATTGGATATATATAGATTACAGTTCAAAAATTAAACAACTTAACAATTTTTTGTTGTCGACATTATAGTTTCTTCAATGGTTATTAATCTAAAACCACCAACGTTGTGTAATATTTAAATTTTATTAGCCCAAAAAAAGCTTTATTCCTTTTATTTTTTATAAAAGGTACATTAATGTTTTCATTGTTCCTAAATCCTAAGTAATAAATAGTTAAAATAAATAACTGACAAACTGATATTATAGTTAATAAATAGTTTATCGTACGAAACTTAACATCAAGGCTTTCATAGCTCAGTTGGTTAGAGCACCCGTTTAGTAAGCGGGAGGTCTTGAGTTCAACTCTCAATGAAAGCATTGTCTCCTTATTTTTTTTATTTTTTTATTTTTTATTGAATCGATATATAGTCGAAAGCTTTTTTTTTGTTTTTGTTTTTAAAGTCTTCTTCTCTTTTCACAGTCTCTCGCAATCTCCGATTCTCCTTCTTATTTAATCGCCGTCGCTACTGTCTCTCGTCGGTAAGTTCCCCTCTATCATTTCCTTCTTCTCCGACATGTAATCTCACTGCCCATGGTGAAAAATCCTTTTCTTTTTCCAGTTTTTTACTCGCGCACCAAACGTGTTCGATGAAATGTCTCAAAGAAAATCATTTGGACTGATAACGAAACTGCTTTATCTCTTTGCTTTTGTACTGCGTTTCTAACACTAATATGATCTGGGTATGCTTTCGAATTGTAAAAAAGTTACCCAGATTCGTCTAGATCTAATGCTCATGTTGTAGTTTTGGAATCGAAATTTCGCGTCTTTAGAAGCTAATGTTAAGGAAACGGAACCTAGTTTTGGAGAATCGTTGCTTAGAGTAGATCACAGTGACATAGAAACCTTAATTTTAGGGACTCTTTTCATTCTCATAGTTTGCACATTCTCGTAAAGTTTGTACCTTTCTATGAGGCATTTACCATTTTAGCTTTGAAGATGATTGAATGCGGTTGAAATGATTGTTGCGTCGGTTTGTTAAATCTATCAGATTACAATGTGTGATTTGTTAAGTTGTTTATGTTTCATTGTGTTGCTTATGTTAAGCTGGTATAGTTTCAAGGAAGATGGCTAGTGGTAGCCTGAAAAGCCTTATATCTTCAGCAGTGGGTCGAGGTGTGACCGAAGCAAGAGCCAGGATTTTCGGACATATGCTTAACCCAACGGGACAGAGATCTCCTCATAAGATATTAAGGAAGAAGCTTATTGGTGATAAGGTTGCAGAATGGTATCCATACGACATCAAGAATGAGGATCCTAATGTCTTGGCTAGAGAAGAACAAGAGTACTTTCCTAAACCTCTCTTTTTTTTGTTTACTTTTCAATAAATTGCCATAGAAATTCTTTGAGTGGGATTGAGCTGTAATGTTTCCACAAGCTCTAGTTCAACTGCAAATTCGGTGTTAGTATCAGAAATCCTAGACATGAGAAAGAAACTCGATGTAGATTGTATGGGTACTGTAAGTGGTTGTGATTTGTGAAGCGCTTATGCAGAGTCCTTTTCTTTTGTTTCTGGTGTAAAATGCAACAAAGTCACGATATAAGCTTATTTGGCAAGGATAGCTTTAAGGATTGTACTGTCTTTGAAATTCACTTACACTAGGTTTTATCCATTGTTTAGTCATAATCTGTTAAGAGGCAGTTTAACTTAAGTTTGTGTGTTGTTGTAGGCGGATATCGAAGCTTGAGATGTTGAAGCGTCGTAACAAAGGACCACCAAAGAAGGGTCATGGAAAACGTGCTGCGAAGCGTAACAAGTAGAAGTAATAACCATAGCTACAAAAAAACTCTGCACTTTTAGAATCAGCTCTTCTGGTTGGATCAGATAGAACAAGTAAAAATTTCTCCTACTTAAAACTGCATTGGTTTCTAGTGATGTTACTATGTTGAGACATAGTTTAAATTGCTTCCCTTTTGACTAAATGTCAATGGCTTTGTTTCTCTTCTCTTACTGCTTTTCTTTAAATCTTTAGATGCTTTAAGATAAATTTCGATTTTGTGTATATTCGTATTACTCATACTAAGTTAGGCTTCTTACGAGGGTAGTGCTTGAGAATGCTCGCCACAACCAGATGTTGTATATGAGGAAACATGGAACTCAACATACTAAACCAGGAAGCATAAAAGAGTAGTGACATATAAGCATTTCCATGGTTTGAAGCCATTAACATGTCCAGTCAGTGAGTCTCCATCTACCTGCATAGTGCAAATTTAGACACTGCTTAGATAAAAATAAAGAAGCTTCAGGTCCAACTTCATGCCCTTAGAAGAATAAACGGTGACGTTTGGCTCTAAGCCTAGAGCATGCCTTAAGAAAGTTTCAATACTTCAAACTATTGGTCCAATACTTTCAATTGACAGTAGGTAAGATGACAATCCTAATGAAAATCTTGATTAGCAGATAATAGATTATTCATTGTATGAGTATAAAATCTTGGTGAGATTTTTGTACTTAATATCATTGATCCAGTTTTTATCTTGTGATCGATTTCAGATCCTCTTTGGTGTTGGATTTAAAGTGAAATTTATAGATTTTTTTACCTTTTCGAATTTAGATGTTAAGGTGACTTGACTTGTAAGGTCGACAATTCTAATTCTCAAGTACTACTATACTAGTTCAAGAGATATATAAAGAAGACAATCTCGCATATATATATGTTCGCAGATATTTTTTTTAAATATCAGATTTTATTTCCACATGTTTTTAGAGAAATTGTTAAAAATGCCCATTTTTCAATACCCCTTTTCAAAAATGCCCCCTTTGAGAGTCCATTTTTAAGTTTGCCCTCTTTTATTTTTTAATGACCATTTTACCCTTATTTGAAACAAAATTAGGTCCACAAAATACAAAATATTTTTTGGCGGGAAAAGTGATCCCGCAATTTTCCCGCCAAAACACATGTAAAAAACCTTTAAAATACCTTGTAAAATTTTCCCGTAAAAATTTTTCCCGCCAAAAAATTTTTTTTGCGGGAAAAGTGATTCCGCAATTTTTTTGGCGGGAAAATTTTTGGCGGGAAAAATTTACAAGGTTTTTAAAAGGTTTTACAGAGTATTTACAAGTGTTTTGTAAGGTTTTACAATGTATTTTAAAAGGTTTTACAAGGTATTTATAAGGTTTTATAAGGTATTTATAACTTGTAAAACCTTATAAAAAACTTGTAAAACCTTATATCTTGTAAAACCTTATAAAATTGCTTGTAAAATCTTATAATATCTTATAAATACCTTATAAATACGTTGTAAAACCTTTTAAAATACATTGTAAAACCTTATAAATACCCTGTAAAAAACCTTTAAAATACCTTGTAAATTTTTCCCGCCAAAAATTTAACGCCAAAAAAATTGCGGAATCACTTTTCCCGCAAAAAAAATTTTTTGGCGGGAAAATTTTTTGGCGGGAAAAAATTTTACGGGAAAATTTTACAAGGTATTTTAAAGGTTTTTATAAGTTTTTACAAGTGTTTTGGCGGGAAAAATTGCGGGATCACTTTTCCCGCCAAAAAATATTTTGTATTTTGTGGACCTAATTTTGTTATATTTCCTTATATATTTGTGATATATTTTATTAAAAGAAGGGTAATTTAGTCATTTTGTACATAAAAAGGGGTATTTTTAAAAATGGACAGCCAAAGGGGGCATTTTTGAAAAGGGGTATTGAAAAAGGGGCATTTTTGTGAGTCTCCCATGTTTTTATTGTTCTTCATTTTCACATTCATAAATAATACTATATCTGTTGATATTTTACCAACTAAGTTTTACACTTGTGTTTACTATAAAATGCAACCTCTTCACATTAATTTTTACAAGTTAATTCCAATATCAAGAGTTCTAGTAGTTTTCTCTAATTTCTTTCGCTTGATTAGTTATAAATAAAATAAAATGAAGAGCTCTATCCAGTTAATCTCTACGCTTTTCTTCTTAGTTATACTTGTTCTCGCACCAGGTATACAATTCTAACTTTCCACAAGTAATAAATAAATTATAACTCTACTAAAATGTATGTTATACACACATACTTTAACTCCTTTTTTAAAAATTATTTAATATTGTTCTTATGCATTAAATATTTAATTTAAACTTTGATGATAGTCAAAATACTAACTTCTACAACACTACAAATTATCTCATGCAGCAAAAAAAAAAAATCGGTAAAATATTGCAAATCACATCATTTTTCTCATTAATAACCATAATTTATGAAAAATATATCACTAAAAGTTTTTTTTTTTTTTTTTTCCTGATTAGCTAACATTCGAATAGTATTTATTGTGATGAACTCATCAATTTTTATTTGAGAAATTCCTAAAAATAGCCTTAAAACAAGTTTTATTGATAATAATAGCACACACTCCATAAACTTCCAAAAATAGCACTAGTTAACTTATTATTAGTGTTTTTGTTCTAAAAATTTTATCACTAGTTTTTTTTTCAATAATACCACAATTTTTATATAAAAGCTATTCAACAAAATAAATTAGAAATAAATTTAAAATATTATATTTGGGTTCTCTATTTCCAATTTAGGGTATATATTTCCACCATTTAAAAGAGATTTTGATTCATTTTAATATTAGTTTATGGTATTATATTTGGGTTCCCTATTTCCAATTTAGGGTATATATTTATACCATTTAAAAGAGATTTTTATTTTAATATTAGTTTGTGGTATTATATTTGGGTTCCCTATTTCCAAATTAGGGTATATATTTCCACTATTTAAAAATAATTTTGATTCAATTTAATATTAGATTAGTGTTTGCTCTCTTTTTTATTTTCTATCTTATATTTTCATTAAGTTAAATTGAAGTTTATGGTGCTATTTGTGGAACTTTTCAAATGATGTGCTATTTTTGGAAAAAAACAATTTTTTTGGGGCTATTTGTGTCAATCTCCCTTTTTATTATGACTAATTAAGCTTTACATAAACAGATTAAGCGCATGGCGCCATAAAAAAAAAAGATATTTGACTTGAATGTAAAATTATATTCAACCAAAATTTTTTTTACAATAGATGCATCTGTTTATTTTTAAACTTTTAGAAAAAAAAAGATAGAGAACGACAACTTTTTTTTGGTCATTATTGATTATGATTATGGTTATAAATTTGAATTCTTATTGAATTTATGATCTTATAGGTATGATGAAGATGGTTGAAGGACAACAAATTTGCGAAACTCAAAGCATAAACTTTAAGGGAATGTGTACGAAATGGAGGAATTGCCAACGAGTATGTATGAGCGAAGGTTTTCCTGACGGTCGATGCAAAGGATTTATTCGCAAATGCATTTGCACGAAGCCTTGTCCTGTCTCTACTTAAAACTTTAAAAATTATTGAATTAAAGACATGTACTCAAAACGTTATCAATAAGATATGGCTACTAGCTTTGATTAGTATCACATTTTTTTTATCGAATTAAAATATGATGATTTTTAGTATTTGCTATAGTGATTTTATATAGAAGTATAACTATTTAGTATTTAAAGGTTCGGAATGGTAACTTTATACCGTTTTGACAACTACCAATCACATAAGTGATATCAAAAGCGTTACTAAAAAAATTAATTTCAGCTCTTTTTACAGTTTTGCAATATTCCGTAACAATTACTTGTTCAGTTTACAACTAAAAAATCTATATAGCTTTTTGTTACCAATCAGACCTCGAAAATTTGGATTTACACTTTGAATGGTTGTGACGCACGTGACAAATATTTAGTAGTTTATATAATCATCTGTTTCAAAATATAAGATGTTTTAGCTAAAAATACGTATTTTAAAAATTTTTTTTTTAAAAAAATTAAACCAATCATAAAAGAAATTATATAATATAAATAATCTTAAAATATTAAATTAATCATAATTTACATAAAAATTTAAAAACATATTATATTGTAAAACAAAAAAAATCTCCTCTGTAAATGAATTAGTCCATAAAAAGTTAAAAAGAACCGAATATTTAAAGAAGGTTGGTGTAACCTGTCTAGTAATATAGTCCACGTGTGTAAAATGCAGTAAACTCAAAACGACAACATTTTGAAAACGATGGCAAATTCTTGAATGATTCTTCTTTTTATCACTCACCTAAACAAAAAAGATTCATCTAGTTGTGAAAGAGAGAAATGGAGGAAGCTCTAAAGATTCAATCTTTAGTCATTTATCCGATCAAATCTTGCCGTGGAATCTCTGTTCCTCAGGCTACCGTTACTCATACTGGTAAAGTTCCTTTTTTTTTATATAATTGGTATGAGAAAGATTCCCTTTATATCATTCTTGATTTCTAGGATTGTGTTCTGTTTCTGTTCCATTATAAGTTATGGGTTTGAATGATACCTGAAAAGGGTTTTGTTTGATTTGAGGGAAAGTCATGGGTTTGATACATTTCATGATACCATAAAGGGTCGTGCTTGATGTTTGACTATGAAGTTGTCTTGGTGTGGATCTAATGGATAATTCCATGGGTTTGTTTCTGTGGAAACTGATGTAGGATTTCAATGGGACCGGTATTGGTTAGTTGTGAACTATAAAGGAAGAGCATACACTCAAAGAGTTGAGCCAAAGCTTGCTCTCGTTGAGTCAGAGTTGCCTAAGGAAGCTTTCTTGGAAGATTGGGAGCCAAAAAAGGACTCATTTTTGGGTAAATTTCTCTACGAAAGTTGTGTCTGAATCGAGACTCGAATTTACGTTCTTGATTATTCATTTTGCAGTGGTAAGAGCTCCTGGTATGAGCCCGTTGAAGATCCCGTTGACTAAGCCAAGCTCAGTGGCTGAAGGTGTGTCCATGTGGGAATGGTCTGGCTCTGCGTTTGATGAAGGAGAAGAAGCTGCAAAATGGTTTTCAGATTATCTTGGGAAACAAAGCCGTTTGGTTCGGTTTAATAAAGGTTTTAGTTTACTTTCTTGTGAATCTTTTCGTTTGCAATGAATATTGATGCAACGAGTTGATCAAGTTATTTTCTACAGATACTGAAACGAGACCTTCACCTCCTGAGTTTGCAGCGGGTTACTCTACAACATTTGCGGATATGTTTCCGTTTTTGGTTGCATCTCAAGTGAGACAATATCTGTATTTTCAATATCGGTTAATGAGAGTGCACATTTGATCTTCTTTTTGCTTTTGGTTCTTAGGCTTCTTTAGACCAACTGAATACACTTCTGCCAGAACCAGTGCCTATAAACCGTTTCAGACCCAAGTAAACTATCAATCATCCCGAGGTCTTATTACCTTCAATGATGGTTGTTCTGTTCATAATCCGTGGTTTGTTGTTTCTGTGTAGCATTCTTGTTGATAATTGTGATCCTTTCGGTGAAGATCTTTGGGATGAAATCAAGATAAACGATTTAGTCTTCCAAGGAGTTAGGCTATGTAGCCGCTGCAAGGTGAATATGATGTGAAAGTAAAGTACACTCAGATTCTCAAGTTGAGGTTTTAACCGTTTTGTTCTTTCAGGTACCAACTGTGAATCAAGAAACCGGGGTTCCGGGTGCAGCAGAACCAACTGAAACTCTGATGAAGTTCAGATCAGACAATGTCTTAATGCCAGGCAAGAAACCGCGTGGAAAGGTTAGATATAAGGTCTTGTTTGGTTTTGAGAAGACTTGTTGTATCAGTATGATGCTAAACCTATTCAATAAATTGATATTGATTTTGGTTTATGACAGGTTTTCTTTGGCAAGGAGATGGTTTGGAATTGGAACTTAACCAACACTGAAGACAAAGGCAAGAAGACAATCAAAGTTGGTGATACCATCTCTGTCCTAAGGAAGATCCCTTCCAGAGCTGAAGCAGCTGTTTAAGTCACATGTATAAACATTTTGCATCTTCTTCTTCCTCTGTTCTGTTGTTATCCCTAAATGAAGTAAAGAGAGATACTTTCTTGCTCGTGTAAACTTCACTTATTCTGAGTTTCATCTAGTTGAAACTGTGATTTTGTTTGGTTTGAATAGTTTTCACTGATCTTTGAGCTTTGAAACTTTGAAACCAGAGGTCTTGGATTATATTTTCCTCAGTAGCCATCAAAGATGCCGTTGAAACTTATTTTTACTCGAAACAAGGAAGAAAGAGCCTAGATGCGCAATATTACAATACATTAGATTTCATACTCGACAGAGGTCTCATTTTTAACATTTCAACTTATCAGACTCCAAAAGTTGTTGAACAGCAACCAAATCTGGAAGCACAATAGCTCCAGCTTCTGTCCAGTCTTTAGCAGCTTCCGTCTTAAACCTATCAAGCAACAAAGCATGCATCCCAATACTCTTTGCCGGAACATAATCTTTGCGCATACTGTCTCCAATATGCAAAACCTCTTCAGGCGGAATATTCCCCGCTCTCTCTAAGGCGAGCTTGTAAATCCTCGGATCTGGTTTCTCTATCCCTTCAATTCCAGAGAATACACCAAAATCCCACTCTGCCTGAAACAAATCAAATGGCATATATTGAGTCAAGACTCTCACACACATTCACAATTGAGTCCTTAGAGACTCTTCACTACCTTGTTCAAACCTAAGGTAGGTAAAATCACTTCTTGATATCGGTATTCCGCATTGCTAACAAGTCCGACTATAAGACCTTTACTGCGTGCCCATCTTAAAAACGGTCGAGAATCTTTAAACACAGAGTAAGGTGCAGCAGAACCAAATGTCGAATAGATTCGCCTAAATATCTTCTCAAACGTCTCCTCATCATACTCATATCCAGCCTAATCAATCACCCACCATAACATCAAAGTAAGTAACACACATACAAATATACACACGCATCGAAAAAGATAACATTCAAATCAAATACCTTGACAAATGAATCTCTCACACAAGTTTTCCACCAAACAATATTGGGCATTTTCGCATGAAAACCGAAACAAGGATACTTTTGTGCCATATCTGTATAAGCTAGTTTAAAACCTTCATGAACTCGTTTATAATCAGGACAAGGCAAACCAATGGCTTTAGCAGCCATACAATAGTAATCACCAAGCTCTCCTTTGTAAGCTATAAGTGTACCAGTAACATCTACTGTTATACACCGTAATTTCGATAAAAGCGACACCGCCATTTCAGATTCTTTCACCAAAATCTGCACACAAATACACAAAAGATGATCAATTTATTGATACAGATACCAAATTGAGCTCTAATTTCTTCACCCACCAATAGAGAAAAGGGATTAAATTTACAGAGGAAAACTGATTTCGATTTCAGGGTTTTGGCTCAAAAGTGGTGATTGATTAAACCAAGAAACAATAAATGATGGAATCTAGGCAAAGTATCGATCTTTTCAGCAGCTGAATCATATCAATGTAGGGTCACATAAAAAAGAGAACTTTTTTTTGCAAAAAAGGACGGAAATTTGGAAGAACCCGTGAGGAGAGAGAGAAATTTGAAGTACCCAGAAGCTGAGAATCGAGGAAAAATATCTCTACATGGAAGGAATCGCCATTGTTTGTTTCTTCTTATCTTTGGGTTTGCTTCTAAAAGATTTTAAAGCTAACACTAAAATGAGAGATCAAGAAGAAGACTCTCTTTGTATTTTATATGCGTGTTTACGTGTTGATTATTGGGCACACAGAGAAGTTTAGGCAGCTAATAGAAATTTTTAATCTTGGTGTTAGATAGATTTCTTGAGAAATCGGACACTCTTAAAGCTTTAAAGGTAAATTAATTGCAGTTTTGGAGAGCAAGTTTGAGGGTATTTTGGTAATTTCATATAAGGAAAAAAAAATGAAGGAAAGAGTAAACCCATTGGATGGCAATGTGGCGTGACAGTGGCCTGCTGTATTGTCCTAAACCCAAAAACGGTTTCAGGTTTTCGATTTTTGTGTCTTTTTTTTTTTTTTTTTTTACCATCATTTTCCAAATTTTTAATGATTTAATTGTACTTTTTTTTCATGATGTTTTTGTTTACTAAATGCAAAATTACAGTGGGGAATCAGATTCATATAAAAGTTTCTTATTGTTCTCCAAGAAACTTTAGAACCATGTGTATCTAATTAAGAAAATGTTCACCGAAAATTTGATTGCTTTACTGTGTTTTATGAATGTGTTTACATTTAAAAAGTATATAAGATTTTGATATTTTGTTTTATTAGACTGTAAATGCAAATGATATAATAATATATCATCCGTTTTCCGTGTATGATAAAATTCGAATCGATTAAAATCCGCTCACAATGAAGTAAAAATGTTTTGATAGCAAACATTAAAACTTATGGTAGTTAAATTAATAGTTTCAAAGAAGTGTATTCTAGAAAGTAGGATGAAAATAAGTAGTTAAGAAAAAGTCATATTTTAGGCGAAGTTATGATTAACATTTCGATTTATTTGACTTTTGAAAATTAACATGTAATACAATCTTTCGTTTGGTATAGCTAGAATTGATTCAAAAAGAATCCATACTAGAAACTAGAGTAACTAGGTGGGAATTTTTCAATTATGGGAGGCATTAGGCATGTTTGTTTGGCAGTCGCCAACGACCAATGCAAAAATCCACCATATATCTATCTCAACAACATGAGCGTAGGCTCTCTTGCTGGCTCTCTCATTGACATTGATGACACACTGTGACTAGCAATTGCTTCAGCATTTTGAGGAAACCAGTTTTGTGTTCACGAACCAAGAAGGAACGAAGTGGCTGATAGAATAGCGAAAGAATCTATTTCTTTCGAGAATTATGATCCTAACTATGATACAATACTTTGTTTAGCAAAAAAAAAAAAAAAAAAACTATAATACAAGACCAAATCTCAGGTAAAGACAAATACTAAACTATACACAGTCAACAACAGCGAGACAAAAGAGCTTGGGTCTATCTATTCAATGGTGGAAAATAATGAGCAATGCTTGACGTAGAACCATCACCTTTGCTTTTACCGGCGTTAAACTGCTTATTAGGGCGTAGGAAACTCCTGAGTTCTTGTTGAATCTCAACCGGTAATTCATCGAAAACCGACTGGTCGATTTCGTCAGTCTTATATCCCCAATCTGTTTCTCTTCTCTCTTCTACCTCTTGATTCACTTGACTATTATGGCTGCTGCTACTAAATTTGGCTCTTTTACTGGTTGATGACACTGTGGAATCTTCTTGAGTCTCTTGCTTTGATGGAGGTGTTGCATTGTAATTCTTAAAGATATCGACAATTGAAGGCATTCCCTAAAAACAAACAAGCAAACAAATCTCAGTAAAGGTAGAAGCTTTTTGTGCATCAAATCAAGCGATAAATCGCGTACCCGATTCTTTTCTTTCGAGTAGTTCATCTTTCGCCCAATCCTATTTGTCTGTGTGCCTTTGTTTGATTCTGATTGGGTAGAAACATCCGTTGCTTCGTTTGATGGACAAGAGACAACATCCTGAAAAGGAATGCGTGGAATTGGTTCTTCAAGGATACACAATTTGAGAACATATATATAAGCTCGTGAGTCATTCAAACACTACAGGCCCTAACCAATCACTTCTTTACCAGTTACAATTACTAAAGAATCTCGTCACATTTCTATTCATTTGAAAGTTGAAACTGAGAATGTAATTGAGCCTAAATGTGTTTAGCCTTTTTGCTAGATCCCACTTCTAAGAAAGGCTTAAATATGCTTTAGAGTATAGGGAAATGAGAGCTGATACCTTTTCGGAGACTAGATCAATGTCTTTATCATGGTTTTCAAAATTAGGCAAAGTATAAGTTACACCGGTGTCTTCTTCAGGCATTGCTGCTTGGGTTTCTGTTGACCTCTGTTCTGAACAACCTTCACTAGCTGCACCAGTTGCAGGTAAATTCAGGACATTTAAGTTGCCAGAATCAAGAGAAGTAGAAAGTTCTGAAAAAAAATGAAAAACTTAAGTATACCTGAAGGAGCCATCTTTACATGATCTTGAACACAACCATCCGCTGAACGAGAAGGAACAGTAGATTCACTCTGGAAATATCTCATTATCGAGCTTGTTCCCTATGGTCATAAAATATCACTCCTAACAAATCAGTGAAGACACCAGCTAATGCATGAAAGTGAGCAGTAATTAGCAGAGATTTAGAAGCTACAAGGACTTACAGATGGTATATCAACAATTTTACTTGCGGAAACAGAAAGGCCTGTTATCCTCCATGTCTCTTGCTTATTTCCTTGAGGTTTGCTCCCGAAAGGTCCCATGTACTCACGTAAGGCAGCTTGGAACAGATTAAAGGCATCTTCTTGGATCTTGGTTACTCCATATCTCAGAGGACATGATTTTGAAGGAAATTTCCTATGAGAATCTGAATCCCTTGACTGCATTACGAAATAATTTTGAAGTCAGTAGTCTTTCGCAGAGATCAATGATAAAATAGCCAAGTACATTTTTTTATGAAAAACTACATAACCAAGAGAAAAATAGGTACTTTGAAAGCACTAGCATGAAGGGTAAGGGTACTCGCAATCCGCTTATTCTGCTCCAAGTCAGAACTGAGGCGCTCGCTTAGTTCTTCAGAAAGCTGATTCAGCCAATGCTGAACCTAAAAATATAACAGAAAACAGAACAATTATACTACAAATTAGTTATATGATATGACTGAAGAGAAAAACAACATTTTCTAGTACCTTTCCAAAAAATTTCAATCGTATATGTACTTTCTCTTACAACCTATAAACTAAACCAACTGATGAAAAAAGGAAAGTGCATAATCTGCTTGAGATTCTAGTCTTACAGTTGAGAGTGACTTCAACGCACGAGGTCCGGGAAATGTCTTTCCAGAACCATGACTTTTGGGGAGAAGGCGACCTTGCACTTCTTCTCCACTGATCCCTCTTGCGATATTCCATAACCAAGTACTACAAGTCAGAGGAAAAGAAGTAGCAATTAACTTGTTTACTGGAAAAAACGAATCAGAAAAACAAGCACAAGTCCCATATCCTTTTGATTTTTATTCTTAAGCACATAATCGGTTGTTAGGAAAAACAATACAATTCTTAGCAGGCTAGAAAGGTAGCAAGGTACTAATGGAAAAATGGTTAAAAATCTGCAATAGCCTAACAGTACAGAAGAACATGTTTCTGTCTTTTCCAAAGCTATTACCCAGTATTTATTCCATAATGTTCTTGCAGCTTTGTTTCAGAAAATTGCAACAAGTCCCCCACAGTGTCAACTCCCAGATCAGTTTGCAAGCTAGTGCCCAGCTTTCCTCCCAGCTGTTTCCTGCAAGACGCGTAATAAACTAAATAACTGTCAACTGTAACTGACAATTGTATGATCCTAGGACAGAGATGTAAGATGAAATGCACAATTTAGGACCGTCTTACACCTTTTAGACCACAGTGATATTGATACTGAAACAAATATCAAATCTTTGCCAGTTTACAGATAAACTAAAATGTGTATAACACATATTCTTTAATTCTTAGGAAAATGGGCTCTGGGATCGGTAAAATTGGTCAGGCTTACTTACATTTTCTTTATTGGCAAGGAACTGAGTAATTCCTGCACAGCTGAATATGGTACAACGGTTTGTTGGGCAGGTTTATTCATCCCACTAGCAAGTTTAGCTAGCATCTGCTTGTTAAGTTATATGTTATTCCTCGCCATACAACGATAAAAGAAAAAGAGAAATAAAAGCTTCTTACCTTGTTATGGCCTATGCCAGCAGAACAAGTAAACTCAGTCTCCTTAAGCACCTGTTTCCGGAGTTCTGCAACAATGATAATTCCACAACTTAATAACTTATCACGGCGGTCAGCATCCTTTCGACATATCCAATCGCGGACACTCTCCTTGAAATCATCTCCATCCTGAATCAAAACCCAAAAAAAGTAGTATGCAAGTAAAAAACAAGTTCAGATGATAATATCGAATCAACTAAATTCTTGATGAAGATTAGAAGACTCCAAAACAGACCTCTCTGCTCATTCCAAGAATATGTGATTTAAGAACTTCTTCATCTATCAATTCCAAACTCTCTGGAGGTGCATCAGCAAGCATGCTTTCTGCTGCATCAGTGAGGTCAAGATACACTTCATCAATCGAAGCCCTCTCACATTTTCCGCTTTTTGCTAGAATCGAAACCACCTGCAAAGACACATACAATGAGATGAATTCAGCAAATGTCACTGTTTACACAAACACAGACAATTTAAACATGTAAATAACTTCCGATTCCATCAACCTCAGAACCGGCACCACGATATAAATTCAGGTCAGCTTTACCACGAGCAACAGGAACTTGAACCAATTGAATCTGAGGACAAGCAGCTTTAGCCTCATCACCTCTCATCGACCTGAAAACTCACAGTTTTTAGCCACCCGAAAAACGATTGATACAATCGGCAAAAAAACATTCTCTAATTAAAAACTAACCGCTTAACGCCACATTTACGTGCTTCATAACTAACAGCAATCAAACCACCACCTTGCCATTCATTGTACTGTACAACTGCAGTAGGAAGTCCTCGCAACTCCGGTTGCTTCCTTTGCTCCACTAATAATCATTCAATCAGGTAAGAAAAGGAGACAATTTAACAAAATAGAAACAAAATCACACTTTTCTAATTCAAGTTCGAAATTTGGTAATTCCTCAAATCCCTAAAACAAAGAGAAAAAAAAAAACTTTTTTACAGAGATTGGAAAAAACCCAGAATTCGAACAGTTTAAATTCGATTTGGACGAGCTAAAAAGCTTTGCTTTTTCTCACTAAAGCGTGTAGTGACTGAATACAACTTGGGTTAGAGAGAGAGACCTTGAACGTAGAAGCAATCCATGTCAACATGAGCGATAACCCTAGCATCCGATGTCTCCGGTCTCGCTACCGGCATTTCTTCACTAAATTCAAACTGCTAATTTCAAAAATCTTCGCAGAAATCAGTGAGAGAGAGGGAACGGATTAGGGAAAAAGTGTTCTTTCCACCGAAAGAGGGTTTTTTTTTCCTTGGACGAATAGCGCGCGAAAATAATAATTAGGAGATAAATCGGGACAGATTAATAAAATGAGAAATTTTCAAAACGAACCCTCAAAGAATCTAAACTTTGCAAAACAAACCATTATTTTAATCTATAAAAATCCGCAAATACATCTCTAAAAACAAAGTAATTTGACAACAAAACATGAACTGACAAATTAGTTGTGGAAATAGGTTGGAGATCAGTATTTTTTTTTTTGTTAGAAATGTATTGTGGTTGGAATCTGTGGATATCAAAATACATTTTTCTAATATTAAAATGTAATGTTTGATATTTTGGTAGATAAACATTCAATATATATTCACTAAGATCATCTGAGTTAAATAAACTTATGTGAAATTATACTTGAATAAACCCCTAATTTCAAAGCATAATAAATTTATAATAATTTCTAAATAAATTTTGTTTTGAAAATCTAAGGGGGTGTTATTCGTTAGTGGATATTAATAGAGTATAACTCTAACTCAAATCTAATGTTATTGGTTCTCAGATTGTAAATACAGATTTCAAATCAAGTGTTATTGGTTCTCAGATTTCTAATATCTATATTAAAAGAGTTTAAAATCAAGTGTTATTGGTTCTCATATTTCTAATATCTATATTAAAAGAGTTTGAAATATAGTGTTATTGGTTATCATATTTACAATGATCAATTAAAGTTTCATGTTATTGGTTGTTTGACAGATTTTCACAAATGTTTTGATTTGAAAAGATATGAAGGAATCTGAAACTGATTTCATGTGTAAATTGTAGCAATCAAAATCCTACATTCTACTCAAAAGTTTCACTATCATATTTTTATAATTATAAAATCTCATTTATGAGAATAACCAAAAATTCTTTTTTTTCCTTTCACGTCTTCTCTCCTTCTTCTCGACAAAGTGTTCCCCAAGGTACTCTTTCAACTTCTTTTTTTTTTTTTGCTTCTTCTCTCTCGTGAATTGTGTATATATTCAAATAATCAAAAGTCTCATTTATATGCATCATATACAATTGTAATTTGTGGTAGACTGACTTACGTGAAACAAACATTTTTTCTTTCACGTCTACGTCTTGTTTGGACTTTCTTCTCTCCTTATTTCTTTTTCCCTTTCACGGTAAAGACTATTTCTCTTCATCATTGTAGTCATGGCTAGTTACTTTGATTGAGAACAAATTCATTTTGGGATGCTCTAAAAGAAATTTCTGATTTGGATGAACGTATTCGTTACAAGGCACTTACCAAGATTTATCATTTGGGAATACAAGACGTTTTCGTGAGCATGTCGGTGGAAGAGAGGCTAGGATGGTTTTAAACCAGTATGGAATAAACCAATAGTTTTTATGTGTTTTTTATAGTTTTTATTTTTTTAAGGTTGTTTCCACGTTGCATTTTTTGAAGTTTATTTTTATTTTATTTATTTTTAAAGTTTTAATTTGAAATCACCAAAGTTTTATGAATAAATTCTTTAGCATATTTTTTTTGTTAAAACTTCAAAACATTAGAAAAACTTGAAATAAGAAAAGAAAAAATGGTCAAAAGTTTTGTTGGACTTCGATTAGATTATAAAAATCATTTGTTATTGAATTCAGTTTTGTTATAGAAAACCAAATGAGATCACGTATCATTGAAAATACACTTCCATGTATTTGACAAAATGAATAATGGTTCACTTTCAATGAACCCAAAACATTTGAAATCTGATAGACTTTAACTCTAATGGAGTTGACTTTAACTTCACTAACCAATAACACCACCTAAATCTGGATGCATATCTAGTTCATATACTCAATCATATGCACGAAATTGAATCACATTAACCCCAACAATACTAACCAAGTGACGTATTGTTTGAAAAAACGTTTGTGGGTGGGGACGAATTTAGGACGAAATATTAGAAGTGTTTTTTGAATCTTTTAGACCCATACGGCTTTAGATTTTTGAAAATCGGATGTATCTTTAGTTCTTATGCTCAATCATATGTATGAGATCATGTTGATGGAATATTCTCAATTATGTGAGAAATACAATGTTGTATTTTTAACATTTGATATATCATTATTTTCTCATTTTTATAATGATTTTGATTACAATGTCAGTTTTGTAAAAAATAGATTTTGCTGTTAAGTAGGAGGTACAAAAATTGCTTGGGCAATGTCCTTGTAAATTTTGAATCCCAGAATTGTCGAGTTGTGGATTAATTAAACGATTGATAAACATGGGGGATTGATTAGACGATCGATAATCAAGCGAATTATTGTTTCATGAGTTTGTTCTTAGTTGGTGTAGATAAGATTATGATTGTGGCTCTACAAAACTGCGACCATCCGACAAAGACGACAATCCCACAAACTGCATGACTCGTTCTTTAACATTCAATAAGCAAAACATACATGAAACCAATTGATGAAGAAAACATAATAATTAAATAAATAAATCTAAAAGAAGTATAGGTCCATAAATATTTTTCAATGGTATAAGAGTCAGAGATTCGTCTCTCAAGCTTACAATAACAATAAAATATGAAAGATATATGCATTAATCCTAGAAAAAAGAGTCTAAAGTATTAATAAGTCTTGACTATAAAGAGTTAATTAGTACATGTCTAATTCTTGGAAATCTTCTACATATTAAGGGAGGGTCATTGCTGCCTGTGCCAAATCCACAACTATTCTTACCTTTTTTAGTTTTAATTATTTTATATTTATTACTAAATATTCTTATTTTCTCATACAACTTATCTGAATTATTATAAATTCAATTGCCAAACACATTCAACATAATGATATTGTATATATATTTAATCAAATGATACTTGCGTTGGTTATTTTTAATTTCAAAATTAAACTAAAATCACTTTTATTTTTTTCTAAGACATTAAATTTTAAATTGAAACAGGAAAAAATCTTATCATAATTATGAAGTAATTGCTTATATTTTACATTGGTAATTAAAAAAGCATTAACCTCTAATCTGATTTATTTAAAAGAGGTCCGAAACGGTTTGAAGCGATTTCTACGATTGGTTTTAAATGTTAGCAATCACAAACGTTTGCTTATAGTAGCGGAAGAACTAATCAAGCCCTTAAATCAGTTATAATTGTTGAAAATTTCAAAACTTATGAGGCTTTTTAGAAAGTATATACAAGTTTGAGTACTAATCTGAAAACGTTTGTGTTTTTTTTAAACCCCCCAGTGGGTGTGACTTTACAAATTGGAAAATTCCGTTAAAAGCTTCTTCTTCTTCTCCGTCTCGCTCTGAGATTCACCCCCAACAACAACAATGAAGCGAAGCTTGGGTTCCAATTCTTCAAACACTAGTGGCAGTGGAAGTAACAAAAAGACTAAAAAGAAGAATAATCCGAGCAATCAGAAAACCCTAGGTGCCGCATGGGGCGCTGCTTCTTCTCGTTCCTCTTTCCGGTCTTCTCCTTTCTCCGATTTCGGAAGGTCTTTCTCTCATTCTCTGCCATTTTAGTGTTGGGTAGTGGTTAGATTTTGAAATTTCGATATAAAAGTTGGAACTTTGCTTCTGAAATGTGATGTGCTGATAACGATTGAATTTTTGGAAAATTCATGAAGTTAGAAGGAAGTAAGATGCTTTATGATGGGTAGGTAGTGTTATAATATTGTGGTGTTGATGTTCTGTGGATTTCTATGTTTTTGTTGTAGTTACATGGAAGTGAAAAATAGGAAACTTCAGAACCAATTTGAGACTGAGGCTTCAGCTTCTTCTCTTGGTGTTTCGGGTTCTGAGAAACTTATTTTCCAAGGGGTTTCAATCTTTGTGGATGGTTTCACTATTCCTTCCCATCAGGTTTAGCTCTATTGCTTTGGTGTTTATATCAATCCATAATTTTCTTCGGTTTCTAGTTTTTTTTGCTGATGTGAAATGACTTAACCCTTATGATATCGTATATTATATAAATGATAGCAGTTGAATCAACCTTAGAATTTCCTTGTGTAGTACAGTATTACTGGTGGGTCATCTGTGGTTTAACAGTGTCTAGATCTGTGTAGGAATTACGAGGGTACATGATAAAGTATGGTGGAAGATTTGAGAACTACTTTTCTAGGCGTTCTGTAACACATATCATCTGCAGCAACCTTCCAGATAGTAAAGTCAAGAATCTAAGGTCAGTTGTTCTTAGTTTCTTTAAAATCTTGGGTAATTTTTTGCAAGGTCGTGTCTTATAATGGATTTTTATTTTCAATCAGGGCATTCAGCAGAGGGTTACCTGTTGTGAAACCCACATGGATAGTGGACTCTATCTCTGCCAACAGACTTCTGGGCTGTAAGTCAATATAAGATGATTTAGTTTCAGTTAAGTCATGTAAACATGAGTTGAAATGTTTGGATTTGATCATTTGGCTACTGTCATCTTCGTACACAATTTATTTGTTCATCTGATTCAATGCTTTGTGTTGTGATTATCACATCCCAGGGGTTCCTTACCAGCTAGATCAACTGAATGATACACAGCCGAAGTTGTCTGCCTTTTTTGCACCCAGAAGCCATTTGACCCCTCAGATGGCTTCGCCGGTTACATCTTGTCCGCCTGATACTGGATACAGTGAAGCTGAAGAAGGAAGTTCAATTAGGGCAGAGCATTCAGAGGAAGCAAGAGACCATGTTGATGATGAATTTGACGGCGTTTATATCGGGAACACTACTCCAGAACTGACAGAAGAAACAGGAACTGGTGATCTGAAATCTTCTGAAATGAATGCAGAAAGACTTGCTAATTATGACATAGAAGAAAAAGAAGTGAGTAGTGAACTTCAATCAACTACCAAACTTCATTCCACTTCAGACAACAAGTCCGTTCATGCAAATGGGAAGAATGATGGCAAATCGATTGCAACTGCTGCTGGATCTTCTGCAAGGCGTCATTCAACTCTCGAGGATCCCAATTTCGTGGAAAACTACTTTAAGGTAAAACTTATGAAAAAAATTGTTCCGTCTCATTTATTCCCACACGTTTTGGTATCTCTTACAAGAGATTCATTTATCTGCTGGTTTCTTCCGATAAATAAATAATGATCTCTGCCTGAGATAATATGCCTGTATTAAAAAAGTCCTTTCAGCTGAAAGTAAGAGAGTCTCATTGGCAGTTTATATAACTAGAAATAATTGGATGTATAGTATCGTTCCAATGAAGATTCTGAAGATGCTTTCTCTATATGTATTTTTTTGTTCTGCAGAATTCAAGGCTGCATTTTATTGGAACATGGAGAAACAGGTACCGTAAAAGATTTCATGGCCCTTCCGATGGACTTAAATGGGCAGATTCAGGCCAGAATACAGCTGAAATGGACAAGAAGTCAACCATTATCCACATTGATTTGGTAATTTCTTCAATCTAGGCTGTTTTCTTTATCTTCTGCTTTCTAAAAGTAATGGAAATAAAAGAAAGCCATGGCCAATTCTTCAATTCGGCATTTTCCCGCAGCACAATAGCTAGGCGTTTAATGCTTGAAGTTAGTGATTCTAGGATTGCATTTTTTTGTTTTGACTTTCATTTGTTGCATTCCTAGTTATTTGAATCTGTGAAATATTTCCAGGATTGCTTCTTTGTGTCAGTGGTAATCAAGAACCGTCTTGAATTACACGACAAGCCGGTAGCTGTATGTCACTCAGATAACCCGAAAGGAACGGCTGAAATTTCATCTGCAAATTATCCAGCTCGGGCTTATGGTCTGTCTTATACGAAAGTAATCTCTCTTAAGCTTGGTTGTACTCGGGGTCCTGACCTTTCTGTTTTTTTACTAATTTGATGTCATTTTCTTTATCTAGGAGTCAAGGCAGGTATGTTTGTAAGACATGCAAAAGAGCTTTGTCCTCAGCTTGTTATTGTTCCTTACAACTTTGAAGCCTACGAAGAGGTACTTTTTAGAGTTGAGTGTCTACTGTATATTGTCACGTCTGTCCAGCTTGTTTGATATTGTAAATCAATTGCAGGTAGCTGATCAGTTTTATGACATCTTGCATAGGCATTGCAGAAAAGTCCAGGTTAGCCTCCAAAAAGATAGATTTTCAGTTACTGGTGTTTGTTTTTTGTTAACATTTATGTTTATTTTTTGGAGTTTAGGCACTAAGCTGCGATGAAGCATTTTTAGATGTCTCAGATTTGAGGGATCTAGAACCCGAATTTTTAGCCTCGACAATAAGGAATGAGATCCTTAAGACTACTGGATGCAGCACAAGTGCTGGGATAGGCGGTACTATGCTAATGGCCCGTCTTGCTACCAGAGTTGCTAAACCAGCCGGCCAACTTTATATCTCTGCTGAGAAGGTGATTTCTATAAACAGCTTTCTATCTTTTGGGTATATGTGTTTGTTTCTGACTCGTAATCAGTGGAAAAAGGTATATGAGCTGTGGTTACTGGTTAGTTTCTTGATTGCAGAAGCCATTGTATTAATTTTGGTTAACTGATAGTGTCTTTATATCTGCTGAGAAGGTGATTTCTATAAACAGCTTTCTATCTTTTGGGTATATGTGTTTGTTTCTGACTCGTAATCAGTGGAAAAAGGTATATGAGCTGTGGTTACTGGTTAGTTTCTTGATTGCAGAAGCCATTGTATTAATTTTGGTTAACTGATAGTGTCTGCCATTTCTGCAGGTTGAGCAGTTCTTGGATGAGCTTCCCGTCGGGACACTACCTGGTGTAGGTTTTGTGTTGAAGGAGAAGCTGGTGAAGCAAAATATTCAAACCTGTGGGCAGTTACGTTTGATTTCCAAGGTAAAAACCATTTTTGTGGTTATGGTCATGTCTGGTTGCTATTCAATTGTTAACAGTATCGTTTTGTTGACTAGTAATTGTTGGGCCACCTCTGAATCCAAAACATTTTTAATCGATTCAGTCTTAAAAAAGCATGTGGTTCTTGTATAATATGTAGACATTATCAATCGCTGTTAAGAAGAAATTTTCTATGAAACAATCTGGCACCAATTTTTTCTCTAATTAAGCTTTATGTTGAAATTGGTTCTGAAGTTAAGCAAAACACCATAGGTAATTTTATTTAATATGATATTTGCCTTTGAAGACTACTTTTTCTTATTAGTTTTCATCTGTTTAATAATTGTTATCGACAGACAACTTCGTTAAGCTATACCAGAAATATCCTATCGAGTTTTGCAGAATTCTCTTCAAAAGGATTTTGGGGTGAAAACCGGCGAGATGCTTTGGAGTTATAGCAGAGGACTAGACCTACGGTCAGTTACAGCAGTGCAGGTTTGTTTAACTTTTGACTCGCTCACTTGTTTCACATTTCATCGTTTTCCTCTCTGTAGGTGATATTTTCTTTTGATATGTATATGCTCAACCAGTAACTTTAAGATTTTTATATGTACAGGAGAGTAAGTCCATAGGGGCTGAAGTGAATTGGGGTGTGCGGTTCAGAGATCAGCAAGATGTCTGTATTTTAGTGAATAATGTCTTTTTTTTCCAAACATTATTCACTTGATGTTAGCTAAAGAATGTGTGGTTGTTGATGGTTGCAGGTTCAACACTTCCTCCAATGCCTATGCAAAGAAGTTTCTTTGCGTCTGCAAGGATGTGAAATGATAGGACGCAATTTTACTCTTAAGGTTTTATGCCTTATCTTAGTTTCATTGTTGTAAAGTATTTAGGTTTTTGCTTTGATAGTATTCATCGCATTGGGTAGTATATGCCATGTTCGAGTGACATCATTCATCACGAAGAGAAACTATAGTGAATGTTTGCGATCTGGTGTTACTTCAGATAAAAAGAGAAAAAAAGATGCTGAAGAACCGACAAAGTATATGGGTTGTGGAGACTGTGACAATCTGAGTCGTTCCATCACTGTGAGTTGTAATTAGGATGATAGTATTATTTTCTCTCACAGATACCACGTGCAGTATTTTTTCCTGTATAATCCTTAAAGCCTGGCTGATGATTTTTATCATTGATGCTATAGGTGCCTACTGCTACAGGTGACGTAGAAGTTCTGCAGAGGATTTCAAAGAAGTTGTTTGGGTCATTTTGCTTGGGTAAGTGCGTCTCAGCTGCTTTGATAAGATGTTTTTTCTGTTGCTATTTACTGAGCATCTATCGAGTCCTTCCTCACATGCAAGAAGCAGCTTAGTTGAATTTTCAAAATTTATGAAAGATGGATGAGACTAGTTTGAAAGATTATATGAACCTGTGAGACCAATTTAAGCATAATGTTGCAGAGTGTTCTATCTTACTCTGCAGGAAAGTGAGAAAGTTGGTCCTTGAGACTGAACGTCCTGTAGGAATCTATTCTTTGCTATTGACTCCTGGATAACATCTAACTCTTGCATGCAGCTTCCATGATTTGAATTCAACTCTTTTTTTTTCTCTTGAGATAGATGTTAAGGAAGTTCGTGGGGTTGGGCTTCAGGTCTCTAAGCTTGACAGTGCAGATCCTTCTAATAAAGGTTAGTTCTAAGGAAATTAAACTCTAGGGTTCACTAGGATTTGTTACATATTAAATTGCAGATCATTCTGCTTTATGTAATTTCTTATGCATTTATGATAAACATTCTTGGAAAAAAGGCATTCAAACATTGTAGTCTCTCCCTATTCATTTATACTTGTTTCCTTGGTTTTCATTCAAGCTTCAAGGACTCTGAAATCATGGCTCAGCTCTGCATCTGCCTTTGTCCAAATAGAACAAGATGATAATGTTTTTGCTGCAAAAGTTAGGGAAAACTCAGGTAAATAAATGTTCTGTTAGTGCTTACTATGTTAAAAGCTTTACAGGTGATGCCCAGAAAGACATGCTTATTTGCTATACATGTCTTTAATAACAACCCCGACGTTCTGTTCGAGAATGTATTAGTATGTTTGTGAGAAGAAAATATTCTGACCCAAAGTCGGTTTTTTTCTTTCCTTTTTTTGTTGTTATGGGTCTAAAAACGAAGAGCTCTTAGTTAAGCTTTAGATGTGAAAAACTACTGACTTAATTGTTGTCTTGTGACAGATTGTAATAGGCATGTTACTGGTGGAGTTTCTAGACTCCGAGAGTCGAATTCAGCAGAATCTTCAATTCAGTCAGGTGATACAAATTCATCCTTACCGCCCATGTGTCAACTCGACATGGAAGTTCTAGAGAACCTTCCTCCAGAGCTCCTTTCAGAATTAGATGGAACCTACGGTGGGAAGTTGTTTGAGTTGATTGAGAAAAAACGAGGCAAAAGAAAAATCAACAGCAATTCTCCACATGTCTCCTTGGATGGTTAGTTATGTCAGCTGTATAGCCTGATGAAATAACTGTTTTTTTCCCAGTGCAGTGCATCTGAGATGATTACTTTTTCTTCCCATAGGCACTGTTGCTAGCATTAAAGAATTAAAATCTCTCTCAGTTAAGATACATGGCTTGAGCACCTCTGGAGAAAAGGTAAAGCTCTTGCTATTCCTTCTTGGAATGAATCATCTCACATATGTTTGGACATGCTCAACAATAGAACCCTGAAAATGTGGCGAGTAATATAGACTTCTAAAGAGTTTTCGTTATATTCCCGAAACTAGGAATATAAAGAATCGTATGTGCCGCATCCTTCCATTGCCAGAACGTCTAATCAGCGTACAATAGAAATGACTGATTTGATGCCTTCGTCCCTTAGTCAAGTCGACGTCTCTGTGTTACAAGAATTACCTGAAGAGTTGAGAGCTGACGTATTGGGAGCATTTCCTGCCCCCAGGAGACAACAGTCATCATCAGATGTTCCCATGGAGACTTGTAAGAAACAAGATGAGGAGCCGATAGATATAAAGGGTACTGAGAATGAGATTGGATTCTCATGTAGCTCTCTTTGGTTTGGGAATCCTCCTCTTTGGACAGAGAAGTTCAAAGTTAGTGGCAATTGTACTTTGGAAAAACTTTCAGAGATATACTACAAGGTTGCTCAGTCAAGGCCAAAGTTATCCCCGGTCCTGCAACACGCTATATCAGAAATTGAGAGTTTTCATGATGGAAGTGCAAATGATTTGGACAAAGCTATTTACGATGTATGTGAACTTCTTAAACAGTACATTAAGCTAAAGGTAGAAGGTGATATTGAAGAGATATATCTATGCTTCCGCCTTCTGAAAAGGTATTACAGAGATCTTTCTTGCACCTGTATTTGATCATAGTTATGACACATTTGACTAAAAACATTTGATTTAAAGATGTCTTTGAGTTCATCTTAGATTATTACCTCTTTTGGTTATGATTATACTTTTACCTTCAGACTAGCAGCAAGGAGCCAACTTTTCCTACAAGTCTATGAGATATTGTCTCCCTTTATTCAGGTCAGTGCAATGGTTTCCATCGACATTACAAATCACTAGGAAAAAAGAGAGTCATAAGTTTAACCATGAATAAGCTACATCCTGAATTGAATCATTTGGGAAATCCGGAAAATTGGCAAAGTAATCAGACTTCTTTCTTTACATAGGCCTCGATCAGTGAACACTATGGAGGAAGCTTTAGTATACTTTGAAAGGTCTTTACTGAGGTTGGACTGAAGTCTGCTCTGAATGCTATAAAAGAATGTATACTTGCAGGTACATTCGCCTTCGTCCCTTCTGATCGGTTAAGATTCATTGTAAGTGTTAGACGGTGAAACATTGTTTTGGTCCTTACCAACAAGAGCTGTGAATAGAACTAAACTTGGGATTTGACTTTGTAGGACAATGTGGATCCTGAAGGCCATCATGGTGAATGCACGAAGCAGCTTAAGCAAACCAAACTTTGGAAGATTCTTGTGCCAATTGAAGGCTAGCTAGATATATTTGCTGCAAATTCGCGTGTGAAATGGAGTCTTGAAAGCACCCATTGTGGCATTTGCACAATGAGATATGAGAGTGATTCAAATCTCAAAGTGCAGAGCCATTAGGAGCCACTGCTTTTCTCTGTTCATAGGAATGTATATAGAAGAAACAAACACTATACTCTGCATATAATAGTACAAATAACATGTACATTGTTTTCATTCCTTTTTTTTGGCAGCTTGTTTCTTTTGTTAATTGTGACCACACTCCTTTATATATTTGCAAAAGAAAAAAAGAGAGAAACATTCTTTTTACAAAAAATGCAGATCGAATCTCTTGTTACGAAAATTCACATCAAAACTCTTGATACGAAATGTCCAAATTTACTCTAAAAATTTCAAAACCGTTCAAGAGCTTGTGAACGTTCAAAAACGTGGAATGGTGGCTCAAAGAGCTTCGTGACTACACTGATTGCAACAACTTCACAATCATGCCTTGTTGGCAATAAGTTTGATCTTGATCATCGCCGACAAGTATCAATGGAGGAGGCAAAGTCGTTTGCGGAGAGAGAAGCTTTTGTTTATTGAGACATCAGCTCTTGATGCCACCAACGTTGAAGAAGGCTCCACAAATTTTACGAGCCCGTAATGGTTTCATATCTCTTTCTAATAATTCTGTTTTCTGTAGCCAAAATAATAATCTTTTTGTTTAATTTGGAGTATAAATAAAAGTTGGTGTGGTTTTTACAAATATAGTGAAATCTCAATAAACTAATACTCAATAAATTGATAAACACTATAAAATAATAACGGAATTGAACTAAAATCAAAGCATTATAAAAACGAAATCAAATGGTTTTCGATTTTTTTAATTGACATATCATCATCTGAAAATTGAAAACTAAAATTCAAATTAAGATAATCATGACGTTTTCTTATACACTAATAAGAACAAAAATAGTAAATCAGGTTATCTCCCTAGCTAAGTAAAACCATAATATCAATACGGGCAATTTTTAATTTTTGGGTCGGTTGTAGTTTTGATCGGCTTTACCTTTCAAGTTCGATTCCTTCCGGGGATCCAACATTACCCAAAAAAAAAAACAACTAAGATTATCCTGGAATACTCGAAAATATCCGAAATACCCAGAAAACTCGATAGCAACAAAAATAACCAAACTACTGTTAAAATATCTGAAAGTACTCAAAAATATCTGAATTATCCAAAATCCCTGTAAAAAACTAACCAAAAATACTCGAAAGTATCAGAAATATTCGAAGCTAGGTAAAAGGGAATTAATGAGTTTACTTAGCTTCGTTTTTTTCGGTTACTAGTTCGGATTTTGATTAGGATCGGCTATTATCCTATATCTGAAATACTTATCTCTAAGACACATTCTGGTATATTTTAGAACCGGTTGAGATCAAGATAGATTTTTTTTGTCGCGTTCAGATTTTGGGTTTAATTTTCTAATTAGCCCTACATATCACAATGTCAAAAGAAGATAAAGTCAGCTAAAAGGAAAAAACTTTCCGAGGAAATAATGTAATTTTCTTAACAAAATAATTAGAAGAACCAATATATTTTATTAACAAAAGCATACACATGTTAAGAATGAGAATGTAAAATAGGAAGAAAAAAGATTAATTAAAAATTATATTGTAATAATAAATTAAAAATAATAATATCTAATAGAATTGGTTTTTTTTTACAGGAATAGAAAAAAATCAAAAATACTAGAAATTTGGATATCAATTACAAATTCTTTTTTTTTTTTTTTTTGTATATGAGATACTTAATAAATTTGTATGGATTGACAAGATAGTTTTGTTAGTAAAAGCATACATGTGTTAAGAAGGGGAATGTAATATAGGAAGAAAATAAAGTTTTAACTAAAAAAATTTAGTGTATGGTTATAATTAAAATAATAATATCTAACATGATTTTTTTATATACAGCAATAGAAAAAATAGAAGTTGGATATCAACAACTTAATTTTTTTGCATAGGAGATACTTTCAATAAATTTGTATGGATATGATATAAATGTAAACTTTCTTCATTGTACTATATATATGACTTTAATTACCTCTATATCTCACACAAAAATCAGACTTTCAAGAAAAATTTAAAATTTCATATTTAAGTGTTTTGGGTTTTGGATTTTTGAAGCATGGGAGCGAACATACCCAACAGTGATTACGATTATTTATTTAAAGTGGTGATGTCAGGAGATTTAGGTGTGGGAAAATCAAATATTTTGTCTCGTATAACAAGAAATGAGTTCCATGTTGAGTCAAGGTCGACCATTGGTGTTGAATTTACGACCCAAACCTATCACATCGATAATAAGATCATTAAAGCTCAAATTTGGGACACCGCCGGGTTCGATCTATAAAATCCTTACTTTTGTTTTTTAAGAGTGTTTATTCACATATGCTTAACCAATCCAAATACGAAAAACACAAACTAAAGAAGAAACCAACTAGACTTGTCCTCTTTTCTTACAAAAAAAATATACTCCCTCTGTATTCGAATAGTTGTCGTTTTAACTATAATTACGATTATTAAGAAAAAGTTGAAAATGGCTATTTTAACCTCATCCTAATTCAGTCTTGGTAATTTAGACTGAGTAATTGTGATCAATTAATTGAGGTTAATTTAGGAAGTCTTATGAAAAAGTTGTATTGGAATGTCAAAACGACAACTAATTAACAACAAAAAAAAAAAAGTGTAGAACGATAAGTATTCGAATACGGAGGGAGTAATTTACTGAAATTAAACTAACCAAAAAAAGTAGACCAGTTAAAACATCATTTATATAGATTTACCCTTTAAATTTAAGATACATATATTTTAACCAAAATTGAACTAAAAGATATCAAATGGTTTCGATTTTTATTTAATTACCATATCATTTGAAAATTGAGAACTAAAATCGAAATTAATATACCCTTGATGTTTTCTTAATAATAGATTTTCCTTGATAAAATACAGATATGCTGCGATTACAAGAGCTTATTATAGAGAAGCAAAAGGGGTTCTACTAGTGTATGATATTACGAATCACTCAACATTCGAGAACGTGGAACTTTGGCTCAAAAAGATACGTGAGTCCACTGATGCCATCAATGTTGTAATCATGCTCGTAGGAAACAAGTCTGATCTTGAAAATAGCCGACAAGTATCAATAGAAGAGGGAAAATCGTTCGCTGAGAGAGAGAAACTTTTGTTTATTGAGACGTCGGCTCTTGATGCCACAAACATTGAACAAGGTTTTACGATTTTCCTGAACCATATCTACAACAATTTTAGGAGTCCGTAATAATTTCATCTTTTGGTTTTAATCTATGTGTCAAAATCTTAAACAACATATAAAAAAAGAAAAAAGTATTAATTATAATATCTATATTAATTTATTATTATATGTGTATATATATATTTATAATATCTATAATATTTTTTACCGCTAATAATAATTATAATATCTCTATTATTTTTTATAGTTATTAATTGATATGAAACCAATTTATCTGGTTCATTAGTTATTTTATAAATAAAAAGCATTGCTTTCCGATAGAGAAAAACGAGAACCAAATAATACATAGTTTGAATTTGATATGAAATGATCAGTGATTAGTAACGTCTTCTCTCTTCGAAGCAAAATAAAATCCAACATTTACAATTCAAACTCACAATTACTAACGTCATTTAAGTCAATTAAGGAAATGAATTTGTTCGAATTTTCAAAGTATTATATATTATCGAAAAAACGGTAAATATATTTTTGCCTTTTGATATCTCTCACAAGAAAATCTCAACTTTAAATTGTAAATCATTATCTTAAACCCTAGATTTTGGTAAACACTTTACCTCCTAATTGGGCAACCAACCAAGGAGTTATTTTTTAATTTATTATTGTGTGGTTAGAAAAAAAAAAAAACCCCAGATTTTCTCTTAAGAATTTTTTTTTTCAAAAACCACAAACAAATCTTGAAAACATTTTCTACTATGTAATACAAACGCTTCAATGGCAACTTTGAATCACAACAACAACAAAAATATGGAAGAGAACGACTTCTCTCTAAAAGAAACATGTCCCAAAATCGGCAGCGGAAGATCAATTCCCGGCGGTGAAATGCTGACGTCATCATTTGATCTCGTCAAACGAATGACATTTCTCTACATCCGAATCGTTAAGGCTCGAGGTATACCTTCTAATGACTTATTTGTTGAAGTCACAATCGGTAGCTACAAAGGAAGAACCAAACGTAGCACAAACCCTAACCCTAATCCGGAGTTTCACCAAGTTTTCGCCTTTAATAGTGATCGTCTTCAAGGAAATTTCTTGGAAGTGGCCATGAAGGTAAACGAAGAAGAGGTTATTGGAAAGTGTAGATTCGAAGTAGCTGAGATTCCAACACGTGTCCCTCCGGATAGTCCATTGGCTCCACAATGGTATAGATTAGAGGATAGAAATGGGAACAGATTTGGAGGAGAGGTAATGTTATCTGTATGGATGGGGACACAAGCCGATGAAGTTTTCCCTGAGGCTTGGCATTCGGATTCCGCTACGGTGACCGGAGAAAACGTGGTGATTACGCGGTCTAAAGTGTATCTATCTCCGAGGTTATGGTATTTGCGAGTGAATGTAATTGAGGCTCAAGATTTGGTTCCGTTGAAAGGAAACAGAATGAATCCGGAGGTTTTAGTAAAAGGGTTTGTAGGAAATGTTGTTGTGAGGAGTCGGGTTTCGCAGACGTGGACTATGAGTCCGGTTTGGAATGAGGATATGATGTTTGTTGCGGTTGAGCCGTTTGAAGACAGTTTGTTGCTTAGCTTGGAAGATAAGGTAGGTCAAAAAGAAGAGTGTTTAGGTAGATGTGAGATAAAGTTGTCTCAGGTTGAGAGACGGGTATTGCCCGGACCTGTACCGGCTCTATGGTACAACCTTGAGCGCATTGGGGACTCGGGATTTGCAGGGAGGATTCATTTGCGGGTTTCATTGGATGGAGGATATCATGTCCTTGATGAGTCGATTCAGTATAGCAGTGATTACAGAGCTTCTGCTAAGCTTTTATGGACTCCAGCTATTGGTGTGTTGGAGCTTGGAGTCATCAGTGCATCAGGTTTGATGCCGATGAAGTCCCGAGATGGTCGAGGAACGACTGATGCTTATTGTGTGGCCAAATATGGGCAGAAATGGGTGAGAACAAGGACAATTGTTGATAGTTTAAGCCCAAAATGGAACGAGCAGTATACTTGGGAGGTTTATGATCCTTATACAGTAATAACCGTTGCGGTTTTCGACAATCTACATTTATTATTACCCGGAAACACAAATGGTGCAAAAGACTCGAGAATTGGTAAAATCAGGATACGTTTGTCCACACTCGAAACCGAGAGGATCTACACGCATTCATATCCGCTCATTGTTTTAAAACCAGACGGTGTGAAGAAAATGGGAGAGATTCAGCTCGCGATTCGATTCTCATGTATTTCGACTATAGATATGCTTCAGAAATACTCAGAACCGTTGCTACCTGAAATGCATTACCTAACTCCATTGTCTATCTACCAACTAGACAATCTTAGGCATCAAGCAACTCACATACTCTGTTTGAAGCTAGGCCGGACTGAGCCACCTCTAGGAAGAGATGTAGTTGAGTATATGCTCGATTTCGGATCCAACATTTGGAGTTTACGAAGAGGAAGAGCGAATTTCGAACGAATTGTGAATTTCTTCACCACGTTTATTGATTCTTGGATTTGGTTTGATTCCGTATGCAAATGGAAGAGCCCGGTAACAACGATTCTCGTTCACTTAATCTTCTTGTTCGTTATTTTTCTCCCTAAGCACTGCGTTACCAGTCTACTTTTGTATGGTTTCGTGATCGGGTTCTATCGATATCACTTGAGACCAAGACATCCTCCTCACATGGATATAAAACTGTCTAAAGCAGATTCGGCTTTACCCGATGAGCTAGACGAGGAATTTGATGGGTTTCCAAGCGCAAAATCTCCGGATTTGGTGAAGAAAAGGTATGATAGGTTAAGAGGAATTGCAGGGAGGATGATGATGGTTTTAGGTGATTTGGCTACACAAGGAGAGAGAGTGAAGAATTTGTTGAGTTGGAGAGATCCTAGGGCAACGTTTTTGTTTTCAATGTTTTGTTTAGTTGCTTGTGGAGTAATCTTCTTAGTCTCCATGAAACTGCTGATGACTTTGCTTGCGTTCTACGTCATGAGACACCCTAGACTTAGGGTTTTTGATATACCTTCGGTTCCACAAAACTTCTTTAGGAGATTGCCTTCAAGAGCTGATAGCATGTTGTGATTTTCTTTAAATTTCACACATTTTTTTTTCTTCATTTTATAATCTTAATAATAATATACCAGTTTCTTAGAAATGGATATGCTAAAGACTGATATTTAGTGAGTCTTGAATTTACAATTTAAAATTGCGAACTCCAAATGATACAAAAACGGTGTCGTCTTTATCAATAGCCCAAGATCGGCCCAATAAGTAAACTTGGGGAAAATATTGACAATTCTGAAACTTTGTGCCATGTTTCAAATAACTGAAAACCGTAAGGGGCTTTATAATAAATAACAGATACTAAAAGCCACACGAAAAGCCCTAAACCCATCAGTACCTGAAAATATCGAAGACAAAATCTCCGGCCGGCGTTTTCTCAATCTCCGGCATCAATGGCCATGCTCTCACACCGTCTCCGACGAGTGCTTGTCGCCGCACCTTCCTATTTGCAACGATCCTTCACTCTATCTCATCCCTCCGATTTCCCTCCCGTGTCATCGTTATTACCGAGATCTGTGGTGAAGCAATCGACGGAATTTAATCGATCTCCGGCGAGATTGTTCTCGACGACTCAGTATCAGTATGATCCGTACACAGGAGAAGATTCGTTCATGCCGGATAACGAAGGATGCGATTTTAATCATTGGTTAATTACAATGAATTTCCCTAAAGATAATGTTCCATCTAGAGAAGAAATGATTTCGATTTTTGAGCAAACTTGTGCTAAAGGACTTGATATAAGGTTGGTGTTTCTGCAAATTGCTTCAATTTTAGAATTATTGTGGAAAGAATTCTTCTTTTGTGAGTATATATTGCATTTTTTCAGTTTGGAAGAAGCTAAGAAGAAAATGTATGCAATTTGTACAACAAGTTACCAAGGGTTTCAAGCAACAATGACAATAGGAGAAGTAGAAAAGTTTAGAGGTAACGAATGATATATGAAAGAATTTGTTGAATGGAATTAGATTTGTTGACACTATTTTTTGTTTGTTGTCTATAAACAGATTTGCCTGGGGTTCAATACATAATTCCTGATTCTTATGTTGATGTTGAGAATAAGGTTTATGGAGGTAAGTGTTTTTTATTTCATAAAGTCTTATCTCATTGTGGGAAATCACGTTTTTAGGGCTTCATTTACAGGAGACAAGTATGAGAATGGAGTGATCACACCTGGGCCAATTCCTGTTCCTACTAAAGAAGGCTTTGATTCTCTAGAGAAGGAGAGTAAGCGGGAACAAGAGGAAGCTCAAATCATTCAAACGCCTTCGGATGAGGGTAAAACCTCAGGACAAGTGCAAGATCAAGGAAGTCAAACGCCTCCAGATCAGAGAAGTGTCAAGCAAAGGCAAGGAACCCTTGCTCTAGGACAAGGGAAAAGTGAAGGAAGTCGAATGCGAATTCCAGTACAAAGGCAAAGTCGAGGTCAAGGAAATCTATTGCCTTCATTGCAAGAGGGTTTCAAGCAGAGCCAGGGAACTCTGTCTGTAGGACAAGGGCAAAGAAGTGAAATGCCTTCCTTCCAAGGAAATGTTAATCAAGGAAAAGAAATACCAATCCATGGACAATGGCAAGGTCCACGAAGTCAAATGCCTTCATCTCAGGGGAGTTTCAACCAACGCCAAGAAACCCCGACCCTAAGACAAGGACATGCTCAAGGAAGTCAAATTCCTTCATTTCAAAATGGTAACAACCGAAGTCAAGGAACACCAATCCCTGGACAAGGGCAAGGAAGTCAAATACCTTCCAATCAGGTGGGTTACAACCAAGGTCAAGGAGCTCAGACGCCTCCATACCAAGGATTACCAAACAATTACAGTCAAGGAGCATTTGTGCAATACAACCAAGGGCCACCGCAAGGAAACTTTATCCAAGGGACACAAGAAAATTACAGCCAAATGGGCCAAGGGTATTACATTCCGCAGAGTGGTGGAAGCTATGGTCCTGCACAAGGAGCAGGAAGTCCAGGATTTGGACATGGGCAAGGTCAAGGAAGTCAGTTATTGTCTCCATATCAAGGGAGTTACAACCAAGGCCAGGGAACTCCGCTGACAGGACAAGGCCAAGAAGGTCAAATACCTTCATATCATATGGGTAACAGCCAAGGCTTAGGAGCTCCGGTGCCTCCGAACCAAGTAACACCAGGCAATTATGGTCAATGGGAATTTGTGAACTACAACCAAGGACCACCACATGGTAACTTTCTCCAAGGACCACCACATGGTAACTTTCTCCAAGGACCCCAACAAAATTACAACCAAGGAGGTCAATGGAATTACAGTCCACATAACGGTGGACACTATGGTCCTGCACAGTTTGGACAGTGGTATCCTGGACCCCCTCAAGGTCAAGGAAATCAATGGCCTCAATATCAGCTTAGTTACAATCAAGGCCAAGGAACTCCATTTCCTGGACAATGTCGATGTCCAGGATGTGGAATGCCTTCATATCAGGGGAGTTACAATCAAGGCCAAGGAACTCATATCCCTGGACAATGGCAAGGTCAAGGATGTGCAATGCCTTCATATCAGGCTAGTTACAATCAAGCCCAGGGAGCACCGGCGCCTCCTCCATACCATGGAAACTACAATCAAGGACCACCAGGCAGTTACGGTCAAGGGACATCTGCTAACATCAACCAAGGATTTCCAGTGAACCCAGCGAATTACAATATGCATAACGGTGGAAACTATGGTCCTCCACATGAAATAGCAGGAAATCCAGGATTTATTAGACAAGGGTTTCCTGGTCACAGACAGAGTCAAACATTTCAACAAGAGGATCAGAGAAATGTAGCAGGTGACTTGTGCAACAATCATCTTGCAGACCCAACTGAAACCAGAAAACCAAATTCTCGAACATAAGCGATTACACAGTTTGGTTGTCTCAAAGGATTTTGAAAACAGAAATTTCCTCTCTCACTTATTGTTCTGTATATATGTTTACATAGATGATTCCTTTGTTTCAATTTCTACATGAAGATCAGATGAGAGGAATGCAGGAATTGTGAAACTTGCAGCTTCTAAGGAAAGCAGATTTCTTTTGTGGTAATACACCTACCATTGAGCCAAATTTTGTCGTTTGAAAATTCAGTTCGCTTATATCAGTTTATGTGTCCTTTTTTTTATGACCTCACTGTGAAGTTATTGTAGAAATTCTCATCGGAATAACAATACTCTCTCTCTCAACTTTGTTGGACGGTAAAAGTCAACATGAAGTCTGATGCATACTATAGCAAGAAGTGTATAAGACTACTTATAGATATGATGCGTATAAGACTGGATAAAGTCATACGGCCTTTTTACATAGTGGGTGGCAAAAATCAACATAAGGCTACGAGAGACAAACTAGGCCATGACAGGTCTTTCTTGGTTCTTCTTCAGAGGTGGTAACTTTGACAGTGCCCAAGTCGGAGAATTGTTATTTATCCACAGTACTTCACCGGTCTCCTTATGCTTGAAGTCAGGGGCTTTCGGGTTTCTCTACACATGGTTCAAAAACATTATCCGGAAATTCGAAAATGAACATAAGACAGAGAAATGTAAAGAGAATAGTGTCTTCAAAGATTCAAAGATGATATAGTACCTTGTCTAATCTGTTATCCCACCATTTACTCGGGTTCTCAACCAAGTTCTTCCACGATTCCTCTCCTACATCTCAGAAAGGCTCGCTTTAGAAAAAACAAACCATTACAAATGCCACATACCGGCCTAATACTTGCTAAAAGAAGAACTTACTTTTAAGCTGTTTCAGATTTCCATTAGGTACTACAACGTCAAGCTCAAGCTGCGAGACTGTATTGGACGTAAGAGGTCTTTCTTGGTTCTTCTTTAGAGGTGGTAACTTTGACAGTACCCAAATAGGAGAATTGGTCATCCACAGTGCTTCACCAGTCTCTTTATGCTTGAAGTCAGGGTATTTCACGTTTGTCTACACGTGGTCAAAAACATTAGTGGGAAGTCGATAAAGAAGAGATATGAGGAGAGATTAGTGTCTTCACTCTTCAAAGATAACCTGAAGCATAATATTTTACCTTATCTAATCTGTTGTCTAACCATTTATCTGGGTTCTGAACCAAATCCTTCCAAGATTCCTCTCCTATATCGCAGGATAGCTCATGTTATAAAACGAGATAGTAACAAAATGCCACTACTTACCTAATACTTACTGAAAGGAGAACTTACCTTTAAGTTGATTCAGTTTGATGTTTCCTTTAGGGACTAAGACATCAAACTCAAGCTCTTCGAGTTTAAGCAAAGCCCAATCAGGAGCTGTGCTGAGCCACAGAGACAAACGACCAACCTTCATCTTGAAATCGGGATGTCCTGGCTTTACCTACACAAGGGAATATCGATAACCGAAAGATTTTAAATTCAAACATGTCAAGTAACATGACTGAGAGCGAAACGAATCTGAATCAAAGTGTGATTACCAGCCCGTTAGCTTTATTCCCACGGTGATCCAACCACTCTTTAGGATTTTCAATAAGGTGCTTCCAAGAATTAGAAGTTTCTTCATCTATGACTTTAACCTTTTTGGATCTTGCTAGAAAGTAGAATATAATAAATGTGGTAAACTCAAATGTTGATTTTAACCTTGTACACAAGAGATATTGCCAAAGAGAATCACGCATAACATTGACATAACACATACCGGGCTTTTTCTTGGTGCTAATTACTTCTTTTTCAGGTGGTGAGATCGTCTTAGCCGGAGAAGTTTCAGGTTGTACGAAGTTAAGATTCTGAACCATAACCTGTTATGAACGACCTTCGTACGTTATCAATGAATCCAATGAATTATTCACATATAGATTAAAAGAGATAAACAAGAACATGAAACAGATTCCACAAATCTATTCTTTTAAAACTCATTCCATCAACTACAAAAATCTTAATATGCTCATTGTAACAACTGTGTCACCTGAACATTGGATTGAGAATATGTCACATTCGGAGGAGGCGAATCTATAAACAGCTTCCCGGAAACATGAATCCGATCTTCTTTCTTTACATGTTGAACTGCAATTTGAGCTAAATCTCCTTCGAATATAATCGGAATCCTGAAAAGTTTTCAACTTTGTTTAATCTACACATACACACTCAAAATCAATAAGCTTAAAGCAAAATGTACCAGAAATTAGATGATTTTGAACCCGAACGCTGCGAAATAACAGTTCCTGCCCAGAATTTTCCATCGGAGCAAGGACCGAATTGAACTGGTTGTTCAACGAATCCAATTAAGTTGATCCAATTTGAAATTTCCGGTTTGTACTCAATCATCTTCGGTGGAGTCGATTCTTTCTCCGCCGCAACATTTAGCGGTGGTTTCACTGATGCTTTAGCCCAAGGCTTCCTTCCTCCACTTCCGATGACGGTGGCGGAGAAAACGCGGATTTGCTGCGAGATTACCCATTTCTGAGTGGGGGGGAGTTTCGCTATTCTTGAGTGGTATAGTGACGAAGACACTACTCTTGTCAATGTTCTTGAGATCAAATTCATTGTTTCATACTACGAGTTCCGGTGAACTGTGTTGCCGGAGAATTTTTGAGGGAGATGAGAGAATTGCGAAGATAAGAAAAAAGCCCTAATTTTGTTTTGGGCCAAGGGTTTAAGGGAAATAAGTGATTCAAAGGCCCAAATAATTATATTGGGCTGTCATATTGAAGGCTTAGAATCTGAAGTTTATCCACTTATACACAGTTAACCTGATAACGAGCTCAGGTAACAGAAGTAACTTGTATTTTATTTTTACTTTTAATTTCATAAAATTTTAACATTTTGAGCCAAGAAGATCAATCAAATGATATGATAATATGTTTTTTATTTTAAATGTGAAAGAACTCTAACATCAGTTGATAGTTATACAAGTCAGACTTATTAAATTCAATTTCCACATTAATGAATTGGTCCGACAGCATTTTGACCGCAGAGTTTGGATTTTATTAACTTTACTTTTACTTTTACATTCATAAAATTTAATATTTTGAGCCAAAAAGATCAATCAAATAATACGATAATATGTTTCTTCTACCTAATTTCTCTAGTTGTTAAATATAAAGAGTGTTTAGCATTGTACAAAATGAGTTCATGGGAATAAATTCTCCACTACTTGATGAAAAGCTTAAAATATTTAAATGTCTCTTACTGATATGACACGTGGTATCATTATTAGTCATGATATTATGAGGTGCCAAAAAAAATTAATGTATGATGATGTTTGTTTTTTAATTTTTGTGTATGTCAAATTTTATTTTCTTTACTCATTGTATTTTCTTATATTTCTTTTTTATTATTTTGTGTAATACTAACAATATATGTACATAAAATTTGAAATGATACGTATATTATTCTGATATGAAATGTTTTGGCATTTATTGATCGATATAAAGTGTGAGGTTTAAATATAATTTCTTATGATGGAAGATGTAGTTATGTTGTATTGAGAGATTAATCACGTACATATATATATATATATATATACATATATATATATATATATATATATATATATATATATATATATATAAAATGAAATTTGTTTTAAAATGAAGTACTTATCTTTTTTTAATGTTTAATTGATTAATCTAGCAAACATATATATATATATATATATATTACATATTTAAATAAATAAAAAAATAAGTATGACGAGTTCAAGTCTAAAGAGTTTTGAACTGTTTCAAACCTAAAAAATTTACTTTGGCCATATATTTCATTTTCGTCGTCAACTATGAAGAGTTCCAACCTTGATAGCTTTCATTGCGTGAGAAAGGATACCTGCACTATATATAGGCCAATGAGGCTAAGTTATATTCTTAACATTCTAGGTTCTTTGTTTTTTTATATATTGTCTCAGTTTCTGTTTTTTTTTTTTTTTGATTTTAGAGTCTCAGTCTTTGAATTCTTTGGTAATTTCTAGTACATATCACTAATTCAAAATTATTTAGTTACACATACTTCTTACGATTTTGTGCTAATTTTTTACAGTGTATGATACAATGATGTTTCTCATAAATCATCTTGTGGTTCAATCTTATTCACATTTTTTTCTTTTGGTTGAAATGTGAAATTTATTGATCAACGAAAAAGATAAGTACAAACGAGTATTGGGAGTTAGTCACTGGATCTTTGAAGTTACATGTGAGACATGTGAGTGATGTTTTTAAAAAATATCACAATTTAAGTAAAGAGATTTAAATATATATTTCCTCATGTAGTTGCTTGAAAATGTGTACAAATTCTTGGAGACTGTTAGAAGATATCAATCACAGAATTTTTTTTTTTTCACATGTAAATGCTTCAATATTATGAATCTAAGGCATGGTATATAGAATGAGAACAGTGGCGGAGGTACGTAGAGCATAGAGGGGTCAATTGACCCCCATAATTTTTTAAAATCCTTTATATGTGCTATATCAATAATTACATTCACCATATTTTTGTGTATGTTTGTCTATACATTAGTACAATTGAAAAATGATATTATTTTCTATAATTCCGTTCTTGTTTCGAAAAGATAAAGTTGTAATAAACTAGTTCTCTTTGATTTTCACGGTTAGTGTTTGTTTACTTTTTACAAGTTATATACTCGTACATAATAATTACTGCCACAATCAGATCAATTCTAAGTTCTACTTGCTCTAGGTAAATTATGTTGTTTTAACTATCGATTATTCAGATAAAAATATCATTTTATAATCACATTAGAAAAATTCACTACTTTCACCATTTTACATTAATAATCGAGCACAAGCATCGAAACCATTTTTTTTTTTACAACAAAGGCCGAGAGGACACATTTTCTTACAGAAAAAAAGAAACCTCTCAAGACCAATATCGTTGTTACATGATTACAACAACAAACAACAGCAAAAAAAAAGAAGTAAATACAAATTATTTTCAAAACAAAAGTAGTCAAGTCACTCCAATGTAAGAAAAAGGGACTTTTTTACTCCGTGGTGATTTCCAAAATAGTGGTAAGTCTTGGCTTCTTGTATCTTCTAAGAAGCAAAGAAGAGCAAACAACACTAACCGAAGAGAGTGCCATACATGCTCCGGCTGCCCAAGGCGGTAATTGCACCCGCAGAACCGGGAAGAACACTCCTGCTGCTATAGGGATTGACACTACATTGTAGGCCATTGCGAATACGTAATTTAATCGGATTCGTGTTAGGGTTTTGCGGGAGAGATCGATGGCTGTTATAACGTCTTCTAAGTTGTTTCTCATCAGAACGTAATCTGCTGCTTCTATTGCTACATCTGTTCCTGCACCAATTGCCATTCCCACGTCGGCAGCGGCTAGAGCGGGAGAGTCATTTATTCCGTCTCCTACCATTGCTACTGTGCTTCCGTCTTTTTGCAGTGAACGGATAACATCAGCTTTTCCTGCCGGCATTACTTCCGCTCTCACATCTTTGATACCAACCTGCACTCATGCCACCAAAAAAACTGTCATTTTTACTAAAACAAGTCTGTTTATCGCAATTGATTTGTCACTTATAGGGGTGAGTATTTTAACCAAACCAAACAAAATCGAACCAAACTGAAACCGAAATAGAGTATAATTGTACTAGAACCACTTTAATCGAAACAATCACAAAAAAAATGGGATTCTAACCTCTTTGGCGACTGCTCTTGCTGTTCTCCAGTTGTCACCTGTAACCATTATGGGTTGAACACCCATTCTAAGGAGACCTTCCACAACCACAGCGGCTTCTCGCTTTAGAGGATCCGCGATTCCCATTACACCGACTAATTTCCCATTATAGGCTACGATGACTCCCGTCTTTCCGCTTTCTTCAAGATCTTCCACAAATTTCTCGACATGGTCTGGGATGGTTATGGTATTTTCTGACATAAGTTTACGGTTTCCCACCTGATCACAGAGAATAAAACAAAACTTTCTTTCAGTTGGTGAGAACAGGACCAAAAGCAATAAATGATAATATATTATGGAATAAACACTAACCAGAATCATCTTCTCATTGACTAAGCACTGAATTCCTTTTCCGGGAAGAGCAGAGAAATCCGAGGTATTAAGTAACCATCCAGAGTTTTGCAAATCTTTGTTATTTGTTTCGCCATCTTCAGTGGATTCATCGAAGAAGTGGAAATGCCGAGCGTACGCAACTATAGCTTTTGCCAATGGGTGTTCACTGCTAGCCTAAGGAAATTAAGAGACAATATGAAAAGCTTTAGTAACAATTTTATATATCACTATCAATCCAAGAAGCTAGGAAGGAAGATTTATCTGACCTCAGCAGACGCAACAAGTGTGAGGAATTCTCCACGGTCCATCTCTGAGAAAACTTTTGTGGTTGTCACAGTAGCTTTTCCTTGAGTTAAGGTGCCTGTTTTGTCAAATATTACATACTTCACTTTGTGAGCTTTCTCCAATGCATCACCTCCTTTGATTAATACACCATTGGTTGCTCCAACTCCTGTTGCCACCATAACAGCGGTCGGGGTTGCCAATCCGAGTGCACAAGGACAAGCAATTACCACAACCGATATTGAGAACATAAGCGAGAAAACAAAGTGAGTCCCGTTTTCCGGCAGCCATTCGTCTGGGTAAGCTCCAACAGCTCCACCAATTGACCTACAAAATCATTTGATTCTAGCAATGAGAACAAACTGATTCCATATGCTTTGTTCTCAGAAATAGTTAAAGTTAAGGTTCTAGATCTCACCAGCCTATTAAGGTGAACAATGCCAAAGTAATCACTACCGGAACAAAAATACTTGCAACCTGAAATTGGGACAAGCCAGGGTAAATGTGTTTCCCTCTTAATGACTATATTACAAAGGAACAAAGCAATAACACAAATGGATGACACACTTATTGACATGTTTATATAGTACACTTACATAATCCGCAAATTTCTGAATAGGAGCTTTAGACATTTGGGCCGTCTCGACCAAACTAATAATCTGGCTCAGAACTGCATCAGATCCCACTTTTGTAGCTTTCATGTGAAGAGCACCATGCATATTAATAGTACCCCCGATTACTGGTGAATCAACCTCTTTTGATACAGGAACTGATTCACCAGTCACCATACTTTCATTGACGTAACTTGAACCCCATACCACAACACCATCTGCAGGGATCTTTGCACCGGGATGAACTTTTAATGTATCACCAGGCTGAATCAATAATGCATCTATCTCTCTTTCCCCTACAAGCTTTCCTCCTATAAATGGAAGAAAGAAATGGAACTGAACTTAAACAAAGTTGAATAGTTGAGCTTTAGTTTTTGATATAGTTCAAGTTTATTGATAAACGATCCTCACTGGAAGCATTTCCCTATAACCAGCATTTCGATGCATAATCATTTAAGGATAGGACAAGTAAGTACCTTTGCCTTCGATTAGTAAAATTGCTGTTGCTGGCGTAAGCTGTACTAGTTTCTTCATAGCATCTGAGGTTTTTCCCTTTGCAAGGGATTCCAAATATTTTCCCAGCAAGACAAATGTTATCAGCATGGCGCTAGCATCAAAGTATGTTGGAGACCAAAAGCCAGTGACTGCTCCATATAAAAGAGCCCCGACAGAGTAGAAGTAAGACGCAGACGTGCCCAGAGCGACTAGCACATCCATGTTAGTTGAACCATTTCGTAGAGCTCTCCATGCTGCAACATAGAACCGCTTGCCGATAACAAACTGAATCACACTTACCAAGGCCCATTTCAACCAATCACCCATCATGAAGGGTCCACATCTCCATACCAGTAAGGCATCAAAAAGAGCAATGTGGGGGCAGATTACTTGGATGAAGAAGAGAGGAATCTGGATAAGAAAATCATTTCTATTAAATGACATTAGATAACATATTCAAGACAAATGATTGTATCATAAATAGTGTGTGCATTTCATAAAGGGTGAAAGGCAGATAAGTTACTCACACTGAGAACAAGACTAGAGATAAAACGTCGAAACATATTCGAGGCCTCTCCAGTATCTTTCGAAGTCAACCTTTCATAAGGGCTCATAACACGCAACTTAAACTTCCCATATCCATCTCCTTCAATCCCATCAACCAAAGATCTCGAACTAACAACTTCCGGATCAAACACAACCTCAAGCTCTCCCGATATCCTGTCAAGACGAAACTGCCTAACCCCATTCAATCTCGTAAGTATACCTTCCAAAACCTGAGCATCAAGCTCATTCATAATCCCATCAACCCTTAAAACAAGCTTATCCTGCTGATTACTCTGCACAAGCGAACCTTCAAACCCAGCATCTTCAATCGCAGTAACAATATCATCTTTGTTAATAACATTTGGATCATACTCAACTTCTCCTAATGATGTAGACAAAGCTACTACAGCTCTTTTAACTCCAGGAAGATCTCTTAGAATTCCTTCAACAGAGTTAACACAAGCTGCACAAGTCATACCTCCAATTGTAAATTGACCCACCAAAGTAGTCCCAGTAGCAACAACCTCAGCCAAAATCTCAGCCTCAAATCCAGCATCTTCTATAGCTTCTTTAATATCCTCTTCCTAAAACATACACAATAATAAATGCTCCAAAATCAAATCCTTCAGCAATAAATTGCGAAAACTACTGTATATATAAGATCTCAAAATCCAATTAAAATTCGTCGAAAATCGAAGAAGAAAATTGATGAAAACCTTGACTAAATTTGGATCGAAGACGACATCGGCTCTATTTTGTAACAAAGCAACAGAGGCTTTGAAGACGCCATTAACGTTCATCAAAGCTCCTTCAACGGAATTAGAACAAGCAGCACAAGTCATACCGGTGATTCCGACCTGAATCTTCCTTAAACCGGAATCATCTCCTCCTCCTCCTCCTTCTTCTATCTTACTCAAAATATCATCCGTGTTCTCTTCGTCGTAATACGAATCGAGAAGACGAACTTCTTCCATATCACCGATCTCTGAAGAAGATTCTCCGGTGACCGGAGTAAGCTGTAAATCCCGTCTACTCGGCGCCATTTTTAATGAGATTCCGACGTCAAGCAGACGGGAGGATTTGAGAAATCGGAGAAGATAAAGAGGAAGATTTCTTCTTCGTCTTCTTCGACGATGATGATGGTGATTTGAAAATTTCAGAGACCTTTCTTTTTTCCTTTATGTAAGTATGTAACAATGGAGGATTTGAAGAAAAGAAAAAATTAAAAAAAGAAAAACAAAACTCAAAAATATTATTTTCGTAAAGAGAGAGAAGAAGGTGGAAGATAGCAATTTTTCAACTAAAACACGTATCAGATAATGACAATTTTACCCTTGATTACTTTTGTTAAATTTACATTTGTGTGCTTGTTTTTGCCATCGTCATTCTTCTAGACGACTAAATCAACAGAATCTATTTATTTATTGATTAGGATCTATTTATCCAACTATTTTTTATACAGGAGACAAAGTAAAAAAAAAAAAAGAATTTTATAGGAGAAAACCTATTATTACTATGTAATTAAATAAAATATTATTATTATCAGATGATAGTAAAGAACTAAGAAAATTATTTTTGATGAAAAAAGTAGGAGTTTAAATAATGATCCGGTTTATCGAAATTGATTTTGTTCTTCACAATGATAATACTATTAATATAGGGTATTATTGGTATGTTTTCTTAAAAAAAGAATGGTAAAGATAATTTTATCATATATGTAATTAATTTTTTGGATGGTACATATAGATGACACAAAACTTTATATAAATCCATGAAAAAATAGTCATACTATTTTTTTAAAAATGGATTATACAATTTGTATCATGGTAGTATGATATTCGCTAAATAAAATTGATATGGTGTATCCAAATATCACCATTTTTACCGCTTCTAATTATCTGATCAATTTTATTACCGGTTCAAAACCTTTTTTACTTTACGATTTTTTAAATACATTAAACCGAGTAAACACGAGCCTTTTCACATTGCTGCTTTTTAGTCAAAAATCTAGATTTTCTTTGTCTATATAAAAACCTACATTTTATAATTTTCATGTCGAATTTTTCAAAATATGAAATAAACACTGAAGATTGAGGGAGAAACTTGATGTACTACTTCAAGTTAAAGTAATTAAGAGTGGTATAATTGACTTAGAAAAACATTGAAAATAAGAACATGTTAAAAAATAAAAACCACGTTCTAGAGTTTCTACAGCTTTGATCTATTGTACTTTCAATAGATATATTATTAGGAACATGTTAAATGGCATGATCATTATTGGCTTTGATTAGTCTTGTTGATTTTTTTATTACATTATATAGCCGTTTAAAACACGATGCTAATTGCTAAATAATTATTGTTTGACCGTCGTCGTCTACTAAATAATTTGATTCGATAATTAAACATCGTAGATTCGTAGTGGTAGTCGTAGACAAAGAAAAAATACGATAGGGAGTAGTAGTAAATGTTTATGGGCACACATGGCTCTTTGTGTTTTTCTTATAGGCTTATACTAGCAATTTACAACTGTACTCACAGTAATTTAAAACGGTTCAATGGATGTAGCCTATTGTCTGATCCCGATGAGTGGTAGACTCGTGAGACCTATTTACTGTATTTTTAGAAGTAAAATAAATGCACTTACCTTGAAATTTGAGCAAAATAAAAATGAAATATTATGAAGCTGTTTTAGCTAAATTTAGTAGTTGGAAAGATGATTCCAAATTTCCAAATAAAAAAGAAAAGAGAACCAAATTTTTGAAACATTGGAAATGAATTTTACTTTGAAATAGGTATTTTACTTTTTCTTTTGTTGGAAATGTGACTTCCACTCCACTGATCAAAAGCTAATACACCAATGTCACCAGATATACTTTCTCTCTGTCTGCATCATTATGCTTTCTAAGAACAAATAAAATACAAGAAAAATAAAGGCAAAGATAACAACAGAACCTTCCACTTATAAGAAATGGTCAAGAGATAAGCTTTGACCTAAATGTATCGTTTTTTCCTTCTTTTTTTGTTTGTTAAGACCTAAAACGTAGACTTTAAGTAATCTTAAAAACAATTTCTGATTCCTTAAAACATAATTTGTCTAGTACATATAGCTTCCCAAAAGAGTGAGGGTAAAATTTGTATAGTACATAGAGAGCTTCCCAAAGGAGTAATCATAAATTGTGTAGTACCAAACAAAAAAAATAGTAATTTAACAAACAAAAAAAAAACTATAGAAATTGAGTAACCAAAGACATCAATTATGTAATCTTTTCGTTTTGTACACTTTTCCTTTTTTCTAAAAGCAATTCTCACATAGTTTCTATGCAGTTTCGTGGAATAATAAAAAAGAAAAAGTATCTACTAACAAAAGTTTTTTTTTTGGGTGACATAAAAAAAAACATTTCTTTTTTTTTGTTAAAGAACTAACAAAATAATTTCTATAAGCCAAAAATTACAAAACACGCATCAAAAGCTTTATTTGGTACATGACCCACCTACCAAACTAATATTATTCAACTCAAAATGTCTTTATAATCTCGTGTGCATCTTTTATATCTAAAAAATGAGTTTAATGTACAAAAACAAACAATAAAGTATTACGTTTTCTTAAGTCAAATCCAAATAATGTAATAGTATAATCATTTCAAATAAATTAGGTATTAGGTATATCGCATCCATAATCAGAAAAAGTGAAAAAACCTTTAAAGTGTCCACGCCTAATGCCTTCAAAGCCAATCCCATTATTCCAAACTCCCTTACAAATTAAATAAATATGCATTTAGTGTGTTTGTTAATTTCTTATCTGTTTATACGTTACATTAAATTAAACGCAAACAATGCAAACAAAGTCAAGAAGTCGTTGAATTTTTGTGAGGGGTAATCTAGTAATTTTCATAAAACCTAAGAGACAAATGATGTTTAGTTGAGCTAACGAGAGTTGGTTAGTGTTAGTGTGTCAATTTTCTTGAGTTGGTCTTTTTTTGACTAACTCATCAAAATCTTCACCATTATTAATAATGTCTCCATTCACACTCAAATTGTGGAAATTATAACCACTAAGCATATTAAATGTCAGGAGAAAAAGGAACCTTCTAAACTATTCAGAGTCTTTCAAACTTCTCTTTCAAAATGAACATATCCTCCACTATGATAAAATTCAAAGCTATACTTATGCTAATACTACCAGTGTAGAGGTAAAAAATGAAACATACATTATCCGGTTAAGAGAAATTGCTAAACCGGAACTGAATTTCCAACAGCAAGAATTAAGATTTCTTCCACTAAGCATTACAATCTAAAGTGTCTGGTTTTACACAATCCAAACCAACCAGTTAGATCACTAAAATAGCTTTCTTTCATTCTCTTACACAAGCCTGCTTTACAATCAAATAAAATTAACCAAAGATAAAAATGGAAGTCTCAATACATATACTGCTGCTTCATCGATTTGCGTCATACCTACAAAACTTAATAGCAGTGAAGTTTTTGATTGCAAAGACCTAAAGAAAAAGCAACACATAATTTCAATGCAATTTAATCGAAGATTTCAATCGTCGCCAGGAGAATTATCAGACACCATCTTCATGGATTCTTCTTCTTGTTGTGCCTCTGCTTCTTCTTCTGCATTGTTGTTTTGACTTTCTGCCTCTATGGGCTCACACTGTTTGTTTAATGCATTTTCAGCTTCTTGTCCCTCTTGTTTCTCTTCTACAGGCTTATCTGAATGAAGCGGGATTCGATCAGACTCAATTTTCTCATCACTTTCTGGATCTAAGTCACCATCTTGGTTGGTAGATTTTGGTTCAGAGCTTTTGCTATATAGGGAGATTGACTTCGTCGTACCAGTGATTCCCTCTAAACTAGGCCCAGGTGCTTCAGATGGTGCTGCTGCTATCACAGAATCTTCTTCAGGTGCTCGAAATCTGATTGCTTCAGAGGACAGTGGTTCTGTGCTGTTTAGGTTGTGAGGAGGTAAATTGGGTTGAGAATACCCTGAAGTTTCCCCTGCTAGAGACGATGGAGGCAAATGAGGAGTTGAGGATGTTTGTGGATGGCCTTGAGAGCTGCTTTCAAAAGCATTATGGCTGCTACTACCAATGTCTGTAGTCTTTTGACCCGATGAATGCAATTTACGTTTCTTTTTCTTACGCAGACTGTGTCTTGGATCTCTAGGAGCAGGAGGCGGCGGGTCTGGTATCACAAACGGTGGAATGGTGGTAGAATCTTCACCATATAAAACGCGGACTGATTGAGCTATAGCTGACACAGTTGGAGGTAGAGTGGGTGGTTCAGGTGACTTCACGGTAGGAACAGTCACAACATCGCGTAACCAATGAGGTAGCTTGTTCTCTGAAGAGCTAATTCCCAAAATGTCTCTCCCCATAGGATTGGAGAGATTCAACCCTCGGTTTGGATTAAGGAAAGATGGATTGGCTGATCTTCCCAAGAACACATTGTTGCTTGAATCAAGCATTGGAGGTAACGGCATATCTAGAAACAAGGGTAATTTCCCGCGCTTAATAGCATCCCGTTTTTCATCCGCTCTCAGTGTGTTTAAGGAGCTTAAACTATCCAAACCCAATGAACCTAAGTTGCCCATTCCAAGAGAGTTGAGTGGAAAAGGCTTCTCGTTGGGAATATTTGTCGATGCCCCTGGTCGTTCAGATGGTCCAGCAGAAGGATCCCCAGGAAGATTGTCAGTGCACAGATTTGCCATGGGAGGAAAAGTCTCACTTCGAAATCCCAGGTGATCAGATGGTTCATATAACGGAAGGGGAGATGCTAGATCGCTGAATCCGAGTTTTATGTCTGTGAGGTGAGATTGGAACCTTGGAGGAGTGGCATATTTAGTTCCATGTAAAGCCCGATTCATTATTCCTTGGGGAAGACCAGGAAACAAGGAAGATTTGGTGGACTTATCAGTCCTGCTTGGTTTAGATGGCAGAGATGAAAGACTATCCAAGAATTTACGTTGCTCTTCTTCCCACCTTACTGCCAAGTACTCTGGTGTTTTAAATTTCGAAAATTTTAGCCTTGGATCTCTGAGAATTGTCTCCCAGTTTCC